ATGCCCAATTTCAAAAGTCACTTGAATATTGTTTCTTCCCCAACTTTGAATATTTGTCATTTATGGTTAGAGTTGCTTCCCTTGGCACGATTTCATCTTTCATTTTAATACTGTGCATTTACAATTCCTGGATCGCCACAATGCTTTACTAGATGTGTTCATATGGAATATACAATGCTGTGCCAATGGTAATAATATAATAATGCTAGATATATATAAATTTGACAATGATGCATCATGCTCTCTTTGCATTTCTTCTCATTATTGTATAGCCAATCTATTCAATTTTCTTAGTTTTAACTGTTAATCCTCTGCAAAACCATGGTTTACCGTCAACTATATACATATGAGAGTGATATTTCTGCAGTATAACTATACCCAAAAATTAGTCATCCATCTGTCGCCTATAAAACATGAATACAATCAAATTGAGTTTTAATTTGTGATTGTTATGACAATTGTATACATTTAGTATATTATTGTCCACTTTTTGAGATATGCATTATTAATATGTTGTATATATATAAACAGTATTTGTATTAAATTACATGGAAAAAAATGCATGAATTCTTTCAGATGTTGGTTCAGTTCTTTGTAAGTATTTTCATCAATATGTTTTATTTCTTTTGAATGCAGCGTTCAGGTTCTGACAAACAATTTGAAGAATCAAAAGATGTACATGTTGCTGTAGGTTAATATCTAACGACAGATGGTGTGTTATTGAATTCTGCCTAATACTTGCCCTGAGCATTTATCAATATTGGAGAATTAGAGAGATCACAGAATCTTCCGAAATCCTAAACCACAATACCTATAATATGCACCTTCTTCTGAAATGGTAAACTATGGTGCAGAGATGGTTAAAGCTCAGAGCAGAGAAATGATACTGGCAGTACAATAAGTAGATTTTAGCAAAGACTATTGAATCACCTAACATAACTGGTCCCTTGGACTTGTGAAAAACATATTAAAACAATATCACTTCATTGACATAAATGATTATCAAATAAGAGTAATACTTTTGGAAACTGCTTAAAATACTGATATATAACATGATAACTGTTGAATTTTCCCAAAACCTTCATCATATCTTAATGGCAGTAGTTATTTTGTGTTTCAAACATTCAATTTTCAAGTTTCATGCTGGAGATGTTTCTTTAAAAAAATCTTGGACTTGTTGAATTGACACAGGACTAGCAAATAATCTGTTCAACAAGTCATGTAGACTTACCAAGTGAAAAAATACATATATAGTGTTTAACTTTGACCTAGGGCACTTGTAAAGGATGGGGGCTAAGGCCTAAAAAAGAAAATTGTGTTTCCACTATCATCCTCAGTAAAAAGAAAGGTAGGTAGGTATACATACTTGTCAACTTTTTGAATTTACCATGGGGGAGGTTCCGCTTGCTCAGAATTTACAACATAAACAGTAAGTGTGTATGTACGACCCAAGGAAAAATGTAACTTTTAAATGGCATCCTTTGAGCTGTTCTTTCAAGCGAAATCATTACATCTTAAAAAATAAGAAAATTCACTTGTTGAAAATGCACAATTTCATGGTCCAAAATCAAAGAGTCTCCCTCCTAATTGCGGGGGGTTGGCAAGTATGCACGTAGACAATTTGTTTAATTTTGAAATCTGATTTTACTATGCTTATATAGAGCAGGTGTTCTGACTTTAACAGTGCATATTACTAAATGCCAATGAAAACTTTAGGGTAGGCACAAAAGTGTAGGGTACATGTAGGGTTAACGGAAACACATTTATTTTTCATTTGGCCTAATTTTGATACATTGAACTGTAATTATGTAAGAACATGGTAGACATAATTTATATTGCAGAATATGCTGATGTTTTCCACTTGTGTTTTGCCCTCATAAAAACATCAGTATTCTGAAATTCCAACGAAAATATACCAGTTCGACGGTTGGAAGATATTTGCTGTGTTGTTCACACATTTCCTGGAAATATACCAGTACATGTATATACAATACATCTTCAGCACACACGCAGACATACACACATAGGGAAATAACAGCCAGGTGGCATAGGACTAGTAGCTATAGCACCTGATAAGGCAGCTCCTGCAAATTACTCAGGTATTGACTAATGTATCATTTAATGTACCTGGTATGTGTTAATTGCATTGACTGTATAAAATGTTTATCTATGTACTGTAGAGCGCTCTAGCGTGTCTTATTCTAGCTAGATAGGGCGCCATATCAAATGTTGTATATGTATTTTAATTTCATTTATATGATATTCCATGTGAAACAATACATATTCTCTATAAACTTGCATTTCCTGCAGTCACTCTATACATCCGGTCAGTGTTTTTGTTACCAAATTTTACAACAGCCTGTTTCTTTATCAATTGGGGAAATATAGCATTATTTATATTGAAATTGGGAATATCTTCCTCAGGTTTTGGTCATTTTGGGAAAATAAGGTACTATTAGCTATGGGGAAACAGCCTGTATTCGGTGGGAAAACTGAGCAAAAATAATCACTGCCAGTGTCTAGCTGTTGAAAAATATATATAAGGGTTGGCAAACACAATGGATCATGTCATCAAAAGATTTGATTTAAGCATATTGACCATTGTAAAGCTGATATATACTGTGACCCAGTGCCTTTGTTGCTAGACCCTCTTGACCCTTGTGTCCAGTCTTTCGTGTTAAACCACAACAGTGTTTAGACATAAAACTGATTCTGATCCACAAATATATATAAAGGCCAGAGGCCATTTGGTCAACATTGACTATAGTCATTCAATCATTGATCGGTGAACAACAACTTGGTGAGTGTTCTTTTAAGGTTGAAAAATATGTTAAATTGCAAGAATCTTCTGTTACTGCAGAGAAGGATTATTAGTGTTGTCTGCATCCTTTTTGTTTGAGACTCAACCTTTTTCAGAATATATTTTCTAAAATATCCATTACAATAGTTCTTGCTTTATATGGAGTGTAATGCGACGGGTCGGAATTCCGTGCTGCATGCCTTAATTTTGTTGAGGTATAGCACTTTTAAGGAACCCCATACCATTGCCGCAAAATGTCACTAAGTATTGAAACTGTTTTTTACGGCATTACTATACCTTTGATAAATCATTTCTGAAAAGAAAACCATACCTTGCCCGACTTTTATGAGAAATGATAAAGATAAAAATATGATTAACGACAGAATTCTGATTGCAAAAATGGAGCCGAGTTTGACACCGATTCGAACCCTGGACTTCAGATTGCTATACTATCGCTCTAACTTATTGAGCTACACGGTGAACAGAAGTCAATAGAAGTGTTCTGACCAAACTATGCTACAGTTATAGCTAAGCGGAATTAAGGGGAGGTTACTGTATATAGGAAAAACCACAGAGCACTGGGACAGGGGTACTTAAAGTCATCATTAGATCTGTGCTACTGAAAGTTAATGAGGCATATACAAAATATTCACTAACATACCCCCTCCAGCACACACACATCTGATTTTGCACATATAGAGGCACATACATGGCCTTAGCTGTTCATAGGGTGCTAAACATTAAAACCAAAACATCAAGGAAATATTTCACTGTTCATTAATTTGTTTCGGCACCCTTTGTGCTTCAAATAAGCTTATGTTGGGGGATATATATTTAGTATTTCTGTTGCCACTCACTCACTGTCCATCTGTCCAAGTTTCCAGAGTACATGTATATTCATGTAGGAACATCATTTATAGTGTGTAGGCACATAATGAGAAGTTTTAATTAAGGTCATCACGACCTATTCTGATCTTATAACTTGATATCAGATGCAGAAATATTGGTTTGATGAGCTTATCTTGGCCACCGATAAATTTATGGACATCAAAGTTGGTATTCGGACACATTTTGTAAAGGCCCTGTACACATGTGTCGCATATCTGAATAAGGTCATTGTGACCTGTTTCGACTTTCCATTTACCTGTCACAAGAAACTTGTAGAAGGGTGTTGATATTTTGCAATAAAGTTTCCTTTTTATATGCCCGTCAAATTTGACAGGAGTATTATGGTATGGCGTTGTCCGTCCGTCCGTCCGTCCGTCCGGCGTAAACTTTTATTTGTCTGGCAACCTCCTCCTACATTTTTCGCCCGATCTCTTTGAAACGTGGTATACATTATAGCCATGATATGAAGTTGTGTCTCCCCTAAAAGAATTTTGATTCAACAATTTTTCCAAAAGTTATTGCCCTTTGTTCATTTCAGTATTTGATTTTTTGTCCGGAGATTTCCTCCTACATTTTTTGACGGATTTCTTTGAAACTTAGTAGGCTAACTAATCATGATATGTTGTTTTGTTCCATTGAAAAGAATTTTGATTCAACAATTTTTGCAAAAGTTATTGCCCTTTGCATATGTTTATTTCAGTATTTGTTTTTTGTCCGGCAATCTCCTCCTACATTTTTCAACGGATCTCAGTATTTGATTTTTTGTCCAAAGATTTTCTCCTACATTTTTTGTAGCATTTCAGCTAACCACCCTTAGAATGATGCAGATCTTATTTCAATGTAAGAAAGTATATAACACTATATGGCAATCGAGGGGCGTATGTTGTTCCGCCCCGCAGTACTCTTGTTAATAGGATATTAGTGGATGCAGGCATTGCTGCCTCTATATCCACATCAATATAATTTGAAATACAATGTAGGTAAAATTCCTATACATAAGATATTTGCTGTATGATCGTACTTCAACTCAAGATCTTTCCAGAATTCATCCAAGTTTTTCTCAAAGTCAAATACCTTATGAGATGAAACAACATCTTGTGGGAGACTATTCCAGATATCAATTATTCTTTGAGTAAAGTAATGTTAAAGCAATGTATCCTTGGGCCATACGTGCAGTTGAAACAGGAAAACAATGCAATTTAAAAATTCATTGACCTGTGTTGGAATTTTCTTTCATTAAACTGGCGATCTTTAACAGGTAAACTTGACACTGTTCTAGAACAGCTTATTTCATGTTTGACCTTGGTGTATGTGTGTATAGTCAAAGTCTCTCCAAGACTAATGTACCTAGCACTGGTATAGAGGTAAACAAACCGTGTTTACTTTTGACCCCTACCATGTGTGTGTATACATAATTGTGTACCCGGAAGGCATTAGTAATTTGTTAGTCAGGCCTAGGAAAACAAACATTGATCACGTTCTCTGAAAACGTAGCTTATGGTGGTTGACAGCTTGCAGGTTTGTATTGAAGTTAACATTTTAGTTTGAATTTCTTTCTGACAAAGACTGCATGTTAGGATGACTTTACCTCCTGCTACATAGATATTCTGATATATATAGAAAACATAAGATCTAACGAACGACTTCAAAACTAGCAGCTTTCCCCCTGTACTGTTTTTTTCAGGTTTATTTTAAAAGTACAACATCATGACGTCACAATTACTTGTCATCACACTACAATAGTAACATGACGTCACAATGTACACAATATTGGTGGATATACATTGTTTATTTTGTGGTTATTTCATGCCGCCTTTTAGTAGAGCAATACGTGACCCTCGGAGCCGGTATAGTTGACCATGTGTTGCATATTGCATAAAGCCGAAGGCCTAATGCAATATAACACATGGTCAGCTACCAGCGGGGAGTGGCAATTTTTGTGTTTTACAATACTGTGGGTACAGGGAAGGCATTATACAAATGTTTTGATACATATTTAAGAATAATATCAAGACAATTTTGAAAAAATCTTTGACTATATTGCTTGTGACGGAAGTTTATAATAATAATAATAATAATATACAGCATTTATATAGCGCCCTATATAATTTGTGAAATTACTCTAAGGTGCTTTACAACATATGGATAATAGTAATGGTTATAATTGTGAAAACAAACAACAAAGGCTTGCAATCACTTTCATACATTTAACAAGCAATGTGCACATAATTGAACAAATAAAAGGGTGGTATTTACATGCCGTCTTTGCAAAGATTCTAAAATGCAGACGTGAAGAGGTGAGTTTTTATGTCCCTCTTGAACATGGCCAGGGCATTCGACTTCCTAATAGCAGATGGTTAGCTATTCCACAACGTAGCCGAAACCCTCCCAAAGCATCTGTTTCCGTAGGTCACAGTACAAGATTTTGGGACACACAACAAAGATTCTGACTCCGACCGCAGTGATCTTGACGGCTGATACAGGGTAACAAGTTCCTGTAGGTACTGAGGAGCTGTTCCATTCAGTGCCTTGTATGTGTATACCAGAATTTTGTACTGCATCCTGTATCGTACAGGTAACCGCAGTGCAACGAATAAAGCGCAGGTGTGATGTGCTCTCTCTTTCGAGTACGAGTAACTAGCCGTGCTGCAGTGTTCTGAACCCTGTGCAGATGACTAGTTAGTTTGTCAGATATCCCACAGAGCAGGGCGTTACCATAATCCAACCGAGAGGTAACAAGTGAATGCACCAAAATACTGCATGCATCTGCAGTTAGAAACTGCCGAATACAGCCGATGTTCCTGATCTGGTAGTAACAGGATTTGGCAATCGTGTTCACTTGTTTCTCCATGTTCAGAGAACTGTCAAAGTATACCCCTAGGTTTTTAACAGCTGGAACAGTCTCAATAGTTCTGGCACCAACCTTGAGCTTGAGAGCCATTGTTTGCTGACACTTTGGGGAAAAGACGATTAGTTCCGTCTTTTCCTGATTAAGTTTAAGCATGTTGGCGTTCATCCAGATACTGATATCTGTCAGACAAGCTTCCAGACTTTCTGAGCCTGTATTCCAACTGTCCTGTGGTTTTATGACCATGTAAATTTGTGTGTCATCAGCATAGCAATGATAGCGAAGGCTATGGCGACGACAAATCTCTCCAATCGGTTTGGAGTACATACAATATTTTCGTGGTCCTAACACCGACCCTTGAGGAACCCCGAAATCTAGTACTTTGTCATGTGAGGTGGCAGATCCGATGGCAACACACTGTTGTCGTTCACTCAGGTATGTGTGTATCCAGCATAGTGCGGTATCAGTCACTCCATAAGAGTATTCCAGACGTTTATAAAGTATGCCATGGTCGATGACGTCAAATGCAGCTGACAAGTCCAGCTTTGCACTTGAAGTTTAAATTTAGATCAAGCTAGTTCAACATGTAATAAATAAAAATCTTTAACAAATATGAAATAACCACCAAAAGAAATAATAGTTAGAAGACAGAATGAAATAGTCTAAAGTGTTTCAATGAGGGCAGGAGGTAAAGTTAAGTGTTCTGATTTACTCTAAGCAGCTAGAGGACATGAAAAACTCTGATTCTGAAGAGAACCCCACACTAGTGGCCTCATACAATCATGAAGTGGTATTGAGCAGGCCTATTATTTCCCTGTATCAGCACCGATACTGTTGCATGTAGAAAAGGTCACAAGAATCATCAGAATCAGAATAAAATATACAGTGCAAGGTAACATCGTAAAAGGCAAGTTATTCTTATTTTACCTCATCTTTTTAAGTAAATGTTTTCTCCTGGACCAAGATATTAATAGTCATTGTAAGTAATTTTGATAAAAGAGTTGAATGTGCATTGTCAATTACTCATTACCAGGTAGCTCATTTGGGTTAGACTGTCCGTCTAGAGTTCCATGGTTTAAATCCTGCTCGGGTCACATATATATGATTTGTCATATGTATAATACTTTTGTTGTTATGCTTTCAGTTGGCTTATCAGAGGTCGAAGGTCAGTCCTAGAGGGCACATTCTTAACACATATGTATACCAGCACGATGTAATTATCAGTTGAAATAGAAGTGGTGAAGTGGTCGAGACAGGTGGGTGGTGACCTCCAACAAACCAGGCATGGAAGGTCAAACAGAGGTCAAGACAACTGACCTTGAACCTAGTACAGAGGCCGGAGAAGGAAGTTCAGAACTTATCTCCCCTGACGCTTCTCACCAAGGTCATATCGAGGTTAATTGTGAAATTAAAGATCCAAATCTTGTCTCGGTTGAACAGGTCAGTGAATCAGAAGCTCATGTAGAGTTCACAGGTGAGCCTGTGGATCCGAACCTGGATTCCCTGGAGCAGGAACCAAAAGAGCATGTACAACCACCAAACCAAGAAAAACCAGATTGTAAAGAAGTGCCCAATACAGTCACCAAACCTTCTGATGTAGGGTCAGAGGCTGTAACAGAGACTGTTGTCCCTGGATCTGAACTCTTTGATGACAGGTTAAAGGAGACGAGCTTAGAGGTCACATTCCCTGACCCCTCATGGCGGGGGTTAGTGTTCAAGGGTGTGTCAGTTACCCTGGGCGATACTTCCAATCTACAGGATGTGTCTGGAATGTCAGGGGAGGGCAAGCTTCTTGCCATTATGGGTCCAAGTGGTGAGTGAAACCTGTTCTAATATCTGCAAATAGTTGCAGTATTTATCTTGCAATAAGCCCAAGGGGTTCAACACATAATCTCTGACTGAAAGAAGGGGATGGACTTATTACAGGATAACAAATAAAAAATTGTTGCCATTTCTTTCTAACTGCAATGTTTGTTGGTGGGCTTATTACCAGGCATAGACTTATTGCCAGATGAATAAGATAATACTAATGGGAGTAATTCTTCATTTGTTCCATTGACTGGTCAAAATGTCCTGGTATACAGTAGTTAACTTATTGTTCAATGTTGAACAAAGAAAAAACATAGACAACACATAATAATTAATTCATGTATTGGTCAAAGTTGAATGTAACGAAATCATATACAACACATAACAGTTTACTTATTGTCCAATGTTGAACAAAGAAAAATATTTATACAACACCTAACTTGCTGGGAATCAGTTGCATGACAAAGGTGAATACTATTGTACATCATTTGACCATTTACAGGAGCTGGAAAAACCACCCTCCTGAACACCTTATCAGGGCGGTTACCCGTGACAACAGGGCAGATTTCTTTGAATGGAATACATATCTCGAAGAAAACTAAACGGAAAATTTGTTATGTATTACAAGAAGATATTTTCTTCCCATGTCTGACACTCAGGGATACTCTTACTGTGAGTATTGCATAATTGTTAAAACCAATTTTTAATTGTGTTGAAAATCATCTTCCCATGTTCTTCAAATCTGATTTGCTCTCAGTTTATCAATTTGGAATGGTTCTCAATTTCTAAATTCTGATTGTTTGTTACTTTTTATTCATTATTGGTATGCACACATTTAGAGGTATTAGCCAGGTGGCTTAGGACCAGTATTTATTGCCTGATAAGGCAGCTCCTGTGATATCCTTGTATTATATTGATTGTAATAATTATGAGTTGTATATCTATATATTGTGAAGTGTCTTTTCTCATTTGATTTTTTTTAGCTAGATAGGGCACTGAATCAAATGGCATAAATAATAAGAATATTCAAATTGTTAGACAGAACATCACAGTAAAATATTCGAATAAGTGAATTTTCTTTTTCTTTTATTCTGATCTGTGTGACATTTTAAAGTTTGCAGCATCCATCCGTCTACCAGATACACTGTCACATGACCAGAAGATGTCGCGCCTGGATGAGATTATTGACTCCCTAGAACTTCGTAAATGCCTGGATACGCGTAAGTGTTTTGTGTAGACAGCAGCTGTCAAACATTTTTGAGATTATTTTTTTCAGGTTCTGTGAAGGAAAACCATCTTTTTGTTTTTGTTTTGAAAAACTCCACTGCACATCTTGACCACCAAACTAATCAATTACAGTACACTGATTACTGTGAATTCACTAATTTTCATGGGTTTTAATTGTGATGATTTCATGGATAATCTTCCTTCACAAATTCATAGGTCCATGAAGTAATTACAAGTTTGACATAAAGCAATTCTTTGTATGAGTAGGTAATCATAATCAACGAATCCATGTACTCACGAAACGGTGATTTGTCGGGAAACCACATAATTTGGGCCCCACAAAAATATCTGATTTCACAGTAATTGGAAAGATTATTTTTTTCAAGTTAGTAAAGTGAAACTTTATTATGCTGACACCTCACCTGAATGTCCTCATATACAATTGACTGAAGACCAAAGAGACTGGTTTCTCTGTCTTTAAACATGATTTAAGGATCCGGGATCCTCTCCCACTGCACTCTTGTTTTTAATACAGTAACCTCCCTTTAATTTCATTTTGGATATAACTGTAGCCCAGGAAACATCCGTTGAATTAGTAGCTCAGCCCGTTAGGTCCTGTGTTCGAATCCTGGTTTAGCACCGATTTCTTCCTTTTAAAATAAATTAGAACACTGTTGTTGATCATATTTTGTATATTTTCCCTAAAAGTCCCATAAGGTAGGGTTTTATTGTCAGAAATTAATTTATCAAAGCCATAGTCACGCCGAAACACAGTTTCCAATGCATAATTACATGTTTTGGCAGTGGTTCAGGGATTCTAAATAGACACATTGTCATATATCTGGCTGAATTATCAAGTCTCCCTTGATGTTTGTGAAGTCAATATTCACTGTATCTATTATTGCAAGTTATCAGCAATGTTTCAATTCTAATGTTTCGGTCGATGGTTGTCGTTACCAGCAATGGGAGGTCCCATGATGCCTGGCCTTTCTGGAGGGGAGAGGAAACGGGCCAACATCGCTTGTGAGCTGCTGACAGATCCCTCGCTCATTCTCCTGGATGTAAGTTGTATATAAGTCTAAAAACTTGTGTGTTCAAGCAATATTGAACGGCATGTCTCAAGGTGGTATGGAGTAAAGGAATGGATTATTTAAGGATCGTCTTTTTCTTTGTTCACTTTATAATTATAAATGATAGCAGGGGTTTTTTTTTTGGGGGGGGGGGGGGGGGGGTTCCAGGGAGATTGGTGGGGTTACATTTTAGAACGAAATTTGGCCCCTGCGCCTAGAGAATTTAAGCTATATATCCCCATAATTGCTGCATACATTCAAAAATTGAAAAAAGAAATTATTTTTAGAAAATTTAGTTGTCAAGATGAATGCATCACTTCATCAGCAATATATGTTTTCCATCACAATTAAATTTTATAATAAATGCAATAGCGAATATTCGGATTGTTGTATATTGTTATTTTTTTTGAAATTATACATATTTTTCCAATTTTGTGATTTTGCCATAAACTTTTCCTCATGCTGATGGCACAGGTCCCTGTGGAAAGATGGTAGATCAAGCATTGAAGAGCTAGAGTGGAGAATACTTTATTTATGTCACAGAATTTTGTCATATTCCAGACTTCAGTTGAAGCAATACATCTGTAGGAATGTTATCCAGTTCATTTGCAGTTTTTAAATAAGGTAAAATGCTATATGTGTTTACATGTACAAAACTAGAGAATTTCAAGTCATGATTTTAGTCCCAACAAACCTGTTACAATGTTGTTGTAAGGAACCAATGTTGTTGTAAGGAACCAACGACTGGCCTGGATTCCAGTAGTGCGGCCAACCTGATGAAGACTATGAAGAATTATGCGACCTCCCACAGCAAAGTGATCGTCGCCACTATCCACCAACCCTCCAGCACCCTGTTCTATTCATTTGATAACCTCCTCCTATTGTGTGGGGGACAGGTGTGTACAATAAAATAATCTCATAATTTGTGCATACTTCTGGTTAATTCTTCAAGTATCATGGACCACAATATTGGCCCAGTCTGGACCTTTGACTGGTAAAACACAGGCTCATATCTGGTGATAAGCCCACCCCTTTAATTTGACATGTTTTCATGCACAGGCCCTCTGGACTTATCACCGGTAAAATACAGTCCTTTGTCTAGTATATAGGACAGTTTTTGGTGCTGCTTTCTCCAGTGCCTAGTATGACAAACACAATTTCGGTACCGTCTTCTTCATTGTCAAGTATACTGGGCAAGATTTTCATTTTTATTTTTTGTCATAAAAGTTCAGCAAGATATGTGTTTTCTTTCAGAAATAATTTATTAAATCAATCACCTTGCTGCAATTAGTTTCCAATTTATAGTTACAGCTTTTGGCAGTGGTATGGGGCTCCTGAAATAATATTGAATTAACGAACAATAAGGGAAGCAACTCTAACACAAATTCTGGATATGACATGGAAGGAAGCATATCTCCTTAAATAAAGAATTAAATAGATGCAAAATGAGATTTCTATAATGATATAAATCGGAACATTTCTATGTCGGTAGTGTTAAGTAAGAGATTTCACGATTCTCTGATAGAGAAAGAATGTTACAATGTTGTGATTTTATTTCAATATTAATCGGGTGTACAACCAAATTGTTATTACCCGGGTACATTTTAAAAAAAACTTTTGATCATTACCAAATTGTGTCATTTGATGGAATAACATTGTAGTCATGTTGCAACTAAACAAATTTAAACGCTCCATTGTCTTTCCTTCAGACTGCCTACTATGGGCTCACAGCAGACGTTGTCCAGTATTTCCGCAGCATCCATTTTCCTGTTCAGCCTGGTTTTAATCCGGCAGATTTTATCTGTAAGTCAAGTTAATGTAAATGTTACAAATCTTATTAATGAATTTAATTTTGAAAAGAAATTATTACTTTTTTTCATAATTCAGAAAACATATTATAAAAATTATTGTAGAAGCTTTCTAGATATTTATTTAAAAATTATTTGTATGTTTTTAGTTTAAGCTCATTTCCACCTTTTCATTTCAGTGGATAAAATGAAAAACAGTACGATAGTCCAACAGCAAATAATTGAATCTTGCAAGGACTTAAGGTAAGCCCTCCTGCAAGAAGAAATGCTGTAATCTAGTACAGATTTACAATAATGGCAGTTCTCTCAGGTAATTAAATCAATTCTTTCTGGAAGTATAAAATATGGAATCATAGAAGGATTTATGGTGATTTGATCACTCTTCGGGGTATTCAATTTCAATACTCAGAGTACTAGCCCACAGGTCGATTATGAAAAGTGCTTTTATTTCTACCTGTATCTTCGTAATAATTATTGAAAAAATTCCAGAAGCCCAAGCATGACCTCTTCTTGCCCCATGAACTTGTGGAATTGTACTCCCCTGCATCTGCAAATATAAAACCTTGGAATCCTATCAAGAGGAGTTTTTGTCCTGTATTTTCAGTAGACAGTTACCATATTTATCCAGCAAGTAGCCCATGCCTGGCAATAATTCATATATATTGCAGTTCAATAGAAATATCAACAAATTCTATTACAATGTTGTGTTATAAGAACATCATCCTTTTTTTGATTCAGAGACTATGTGTGTTGTCCCCCTTGGGCTTATTGCCGGAGAAATATGGTACACAGGATTGATTAAAATATACCTTTACTCCAGCTAACTAAGATTGTTTTGTTTTATTTTTGTCTTTGATAATTTCAGACGGTCAGAAAAATGGCCACAAGTGTTACGAGGAAAAGCTCAGGATAACATGTACCTGGAGGAGGATGAGCCAGAATCACTGAGCATGCTGAAGAGGTTTCCTTCTCCAGATACAAAAAAGAAATACAGATCGCTGTGGACCAGGTGGTTCTCAAAGGGAGCCAGCAAAACAGGTGCATGTTATTGTAATAAAATATATTGCTTATCTCAAATATACAAGATAAAATACAAACAAGTTTTGTTTTACAATAATTACGTAACAAGCTTTTTCAAGTGAAACTACTGTAATGTTGGCCACATTGGAGGTTAGAAGGAGGTCTTAATGTGGGAGGAACCTAAGTGTCTGGATAAACCAGTGTGCTCAGGCAGTTGACCTAATTAACCTTTTCATTTACCGATCAGAGAATCAAACCTCCTCAGTCTTGGTGAAGGCGTATGTGCTATCCACCCTGCCAACTGACTGCCCTAAAATTACATACACAGTAGCAGACTAAAAATGACATACTGCACATAGTTTTGTATTCATAAATATATGGTTGGATGAATTATTTAAAAAAAAAATGAACTTAAAATGCATAATGACATATTAAATTAGGTGAGACTATAATATATAATGACTTAAAAGAATAAAGGTCTTGCTAATGATGTTATGGAGGTATAAATGAAAAAAAGGTTTTATAGAGTCTTATTGCATTTTGATATACAGTACTTCAAAATCACATCTTGATGGATTTGTTTGTAAGCTGTACCAGGGCAATGGTAGTTCTTTGAGTGGATACAGGAGAAGTTGATATTGTCCAACGCTGCCATCTTGCATAGTTTGATGGCTCATGAACAATTGTTATGTGATCAGAGACTAATTATATTGCAGAGTACATCTAAGCTATTGACGAGGTATACCGGTAAGTGAGATTGACAACTTCTCATGCGTATGGGCCTTTATGACTTTTGTGACATTGCTTAAGGGTTGGAGAGGGGCATCCATGTCTTACAGATGCTCTTTTAGTTTCAATACTGGAAAAAAACATAATGCTTCCTGTCTTAAGTTATAAATTGATTTAGCTTAAGATTAGCAGAAACCTTTAAATAAACAAATAAGCATATTATTTTTAAATATGAAAAAATTGCATGCCTGTTTGATTGTTTATTTGCAGAAGGTGACGTAGGAGCTAGCCTGATGGACTTGGAGGAGAATGTGGTGGACAGTAACACGCCCAAGTTCCTTACGTCTTTCTTTACACAGTACAAACACCTTACGATCAGAACTTTCAAGCAATCTAGGCCAAGAATCCTTGACAAACTGAAACTTCTGGAAAATGTTGTTATCTGTGCCGTTTTCAGTCTCATTTGGTTTCAGCTGCCACGGACTGAAGATACACTTAGGGACAGGATGGGTGCAGTAAGTTCATCACTGTATAGTGTCAAGGTCATCACTGTATAATGTCAAGGTCATCACTGTATAGTGTCAAGGTCATCACTGTATAATGTCAAGGTCATCACTGTATAGTGTCAAGGTCATCACTGTATAGTGTCAAGGTCATCACTGTATAGTGTCAAGGTCATCACTGTATAATGTCAAGGTCACTTAGGGACATACGATGGCCGATAGCGGTCAACAGAACACTCATATAAGTAAAAAGTGTTTTGTCTGACAGTTTGTCAAATTATAAGTGAGCATTTTACACATTTTGTAAAAAATGTAAACTGTCATGACACTTTTTCAATTCATGCATGGCAGTTTACTCATTTTACTTTCACAAAATAAACGTTGGGAAGGAGGGAGAGATGGAAGTAGGGTCACATTCCAAGGGCTGAGCAGAACAGAGTATGCTATTCAAATGCACTTAGTTTACCTTTAACATAAATTGCACAGATAAGACGGTATTTTTAACTGTTCATCGTGTACACTGGGAGCAAGATAGAGTTCCTTCTATGAAGTAAGTAAAACGATCCTGTTTAAAAAGTATTTCTATTTTAAATACCTGTACTTTTTTTTTTTAATTTTTTTAAATTCTTATTTCAGATTTTCTTCATTGCTATACACTGGGGTTTCATGCCATTTTTTGATGCCACAAGTTCATGTAAGTTTGATTCCATCTTTTTAAAACTCAAGAACTAATAATATTGAAATTTTTGATATTTCATTTTCAGCTGTCACCATTCTTATACATGTGTCATCTTGTTATGAAAAACATACATTTGTATAGAGAAACCTGTTTAATCCGACCCCTCAGTATATTCCAACATGACCCTATAATCCTATTTCATTTGTTAGGAAATCTGACAATCCAATAAGGGCAGGGCCAGTATTCATGAAACCAATCTCATGCTCAAAGTAAGATTTTGGTCTCAAGCACATGTTAAGTATTGTCAATGATTCAGAAGGATTTAAAACGAAATACACATGTACCATTATATATGACATTTGTCCGTGTTACATGATTTAAGCAAGTACCTGTAATAAGAAGTTTGGTTTGAGCACAGAATCTATACTTGCATGAGCATGGAATTAAACGGTTTGAGGAATGCAGGCTATGTATAGTCTGACCAACACCTATTATACAGTGTCACTGTTTCACAATGTGTTGTATTAGACAGGTTTCACTGTAATTATTTATTCCAGATAATTTTGACAATTAATTTATATGCACTGTAAGTTACCACACATCCTATCTTCCATCCTCGATACATCAGAGGTTACACTCACTTCCGCTCTATGCACCCCTGGAATATGTCATAGCAAAATGGAGCAAAAGTGAGCTTAACCCCTGGAGTATCAAGGATGCCTACCTCCCAGACATATTGCATACCAGGAAATTTCCACCAAAGTTACATTTTTCACCTTTTTCACCCTCCGTAATGAGGGCGAATTTATCATTGCAGCGAATATTCATAAACAACTCAATATACGGAGCGAAATTTGATTTTATCAGCAAAGGACGAAAATTTCAGTAGGCTTAAGTTTTCTGGTATACAGTACCTAAAATATGTACATGTATAAATAGCAATGTCACCCTATCTGTCCACAGTCCCCATGGAACAGGTGGTGATCTACAAGGAGAGAGCCAGTGGGTGGTACCGCCTCTCTGCCTATTACCTAGCCAAGATGACAAGTGAACTCCCACTTATATTTGCCCAGCCATTGTTTTTCCTTGTGGTGGCCTACTGGGTGGTTGGATTTAATGGTGCTGTGGCTTTCTTTGCCACCATCGGGACAGTGTTTATAAATTCATTAGCTGGACAGGTGAGACAAATGGCACAGAGATTAGCATAACAGTTGTATCTCCGGCATAGAACACGCATTTAATACCAGGACCTTTTGATATAAAGCAGGGAGCTGATCCACTGTGCTAACAGTCATCCTATTTGATCTGTTGATACTTTTGTACAATATTACTTGGATTAGTTGCAAAATTTTTGAACTCCCTAAAAAAGCAGGCAATCTATATCAGTAAATATCTTTGTATGAATTATTTCCTCTAAATTCATTCATTCAGAATTGTTGCATGACACCTGAATAAAGATTTTCAATTAAAAAAGTCATAATCTTATAATAATGTACCCAGTGCTATTTTCAGTACCAAGGTCAAAGTTCAAAACTTGTTTTCCTTGCTTAATATCTTAAATGCAGTATCATTGTTTCGTGTTTGTAGAGTATCGGTCTGTTTCTGGGAATCCTAAGTAAAGAAATGAGACAGGCCATCACCATGTCAATGCTCGTTCAGATGTCTATCATGTTGCTTGGTGAGTTATTGAACTCTGACCTCAAATAGAAGAGCTATTGAACTCTGACCTCTAATGGAGGAGATTGATTGAAATTTGGGCTCTAATTGGGGAGAAAGACAAGGGAAGACCATTTAAATTGTACTCAAGAGGTTTTTTTAACATAAAGTCTGTTTATGTCCCCTATCAAATGTCATTAAGGGTTTGCTTTTTCTATCAAACTGTTGGTTAGTCTTTGCACTTAGCTCAATATACTCTTATACTAGAATACCAACAGTCATCAAGCTTCAGATATCCATACATCTTGAGAAGTACTACACAAGAATATTTATAGTAGGTCAGTCTGTGTATAACTTTATTTACAACAATTATAAATATAATGAGTGGATTTTGAACTACCTCTGTGTATTTGTATGCCCATTCACAAACAGTGTTTAGGGGTGGGGGGTGGGGGTGTATATAGGAATCACTCTGTCTGTCCAAGGTCCATGATCCTTGTAAGTGCAACTCCTCCAAAGCTGTGATATGGATTCTTTTGTAACTTTACACAGTGAAAGAAATGATTTATTGATTCAACTATTTTCTTGGAGTTATGACCTTTGAAACTAAAGGATTGGAAAGTCTATGTCATTCTTTGACATCCATGTATTTTTCCAGGTGGACTTTTTACCAGGAACCTACCGTTCTGGTTAGACTGGCTTAAGTACCTGTCCTTCCTACATTACTCATTTCACTGCCTCATGGTCATTGAGTTCCAGAATGGCCCTCCTATACAGTAAGTATTGCTTTTTATGATCCTCCAGTTCAAGTGTATTCCCTTCTACCTGACCTCTTCCACACATACTGGCATTGTCGCTTCTTATTTTCCTAGAGTTTTATTAGTGACATATTCAATTAATCACCTACATTTCAGTTCTTCCTTGGTTACATTTATATGAAACTTTCTTTTATAATTGTGATAAGTATGTATTGATAGGAATAGGGGAGCACTTTATAGGATGTTATAAATAGAAAGTGTTAAAGCTACACAAAAAAATAGTCACTCTTAAATAGAGTTTGTATACATTTCGTTTTCACATTAACCCTTTCAACACTGTAGACTACAATGGACTCATCCAGATCAATTTATGGTAGAGTTTATTAAAGTTACATAGGGGTGAAAGGGTTAAATTACCTGGACACCTCAACATAGTTTTCATGCTATACAAATATGCACCATGAGCTTACGGGATGGTTTGGCATCTGTCAACTTTTTCTTTGCTTTTTCTAAGCTTTGATTAGTAGCTTCCTGGGATCATGCCCAAACAAATTTGTGAAAATGACCTTGACCTACTTTTAAGGTCACATGTTTTAAATATGTAAAATATAAAAAAAAATGTTTAAACTGTTTCTTGCCAAGATCATGCTAGGCTGATGTACTACAATGTGTGTGAGTATTTGACATTGACCCACATTTAAGGTCACAGATGACAATACATGTATGTCCAAATGTCCGAGGGACTTCGATAGTGACAGTGGGTCATATCATCCAACCCTAAAGACTAAGTATCAATACTTTGCAACTTCAGATATTTTTTGAAATATTTTAGCTCATTGTAAACATGTATAAATATCTAAAGTTGCAAAATATTGATTTTTAGTCTTTAGGGTTAGGTGAACTTCTACCCATTTTATTCAAAAAAAATTGACCTTGATCTCATTAAAGGTCAGAGAAATGAAATGTGTTCGTGAATATTGAATAACAAGTGAAACAGCCCATTTGGCCTCTTGGTTTGAAATTATGCTCCTGATAGACATGATGCTTTGAACACCTGAGTTTTGCAATATGTTTATACACCTGTGATATTAATTACCTGTACTTTATATCTCACCAGGTGCTCCAGCAACCGTAACATGTCTATCTTTGTTGGATGCCAGGACCCTAATACAACTTCCGTGCCGTCACATCTTGCCTTAGAATACTTTGATGTCACTTGGGATTTCTGGCAGTATTTTATACAGCTCTTCACATTTATTATATTTTTTCGTATCCTAGGATACTTGATGTTGCGCTTTGTCAACAAACCAGATTAGTTTATAGGTATTGGGAACTGTGTCCTAAAGATTGCTTTATGTACATAGAAATGGGAAATATTATTTGTTCTACATGTAAAGACGGTATCATATTATTCAAGCATCCTATGTAAAATAAGCATCAGAGTTACCTCCCTTTGGAGTAATTTGGAGTAAAAGCAAATAATCCCAGAGAGAGAGAGAGAGAGAGAGAGAGAGGAAATTTTACCTGAGACCAATCAAATAGCTAGCTGTGTACCTTCAATTTTGCTATGACATGTTCCGGGGATGCAGAGAGCAAATGTGAGTGTAACCCCAGGAGTAGCAAGGATAGTTTTTGAGTTGCTGTCTGAAACATGAAATTCACTATCTATTTTGCATATTAGGGTGTTGATGCATGACAAGGCCAAATTAATGTAATAATGATATACAGTCAAACCTGTTTGAGAGGCTCCTCTATCAAGAAATTGCCTGTGTTAATTAGGAAACTACTTCTAATATTACCTGTTACAGTGATCTTTTGTAAACTGACACCTTTATCAATTAAGAGACCATACACTAGGAGGCAAAATTATAGACTTCCTGAGAGGTGGTCTATAAAAACAGATTTGATTCTGTTTTATCCTTTACCAATGCTGTGCCTTGTATGTGCATGTTTCAGAAATCAAACTAGTTTCATTATATATTTTGATTTTTTTTATCACAATGCTGTACAGTTAAATAATTTGTCAATAACCAAGCTCAATACTCATGTTATTTATTTATTATGTAAGTTTTTCTTCATATGATCACAGGGTGATGATCACAGGGTGAGAACTGAATTTGATACTGAATGGTTGTATATATATCCTTTATACAGATATTTTACTGTACTTTACTTTATTTTTGGGAGCATTTATTTTCCGGAAGTCATAATCATTATTGATAAATCAGTGTTGTGAGGATGAAGTTTATTTGTATGCTACATAAATATGTACTATGTGAATTTTTCAGGAGCAATAGATTAATGATCCAATCAATACAGTGCATATTGCAATATGTTACATATTTTTGTAAACTTATCAAGATTTGTTTATGCCAGTATTTTTTATAGCAAGGATATATTAAGCTGCTTGCCCTTTCTTGACCATTATGATGCATATTTGTTTGTCATTGTGGTATACTTGTCACGCAATTATAAACTACTTCATATAAACTTTGGTTTAGTTCATGTATAACCCACAAGGGGTTTGAATTTTTAATTGTCTTCACTTTCTCATCATTTTTATGATGTTCACGTAAACATTTGTTTGTATTATTTTCAAACTTTTTTTTTATCTTTTATAACTTTTTATCTAATAAAGTCAATATCAATATATCATATGATAAATTATAACATTGCTCCTTTCTTCATGTGTTGAATATTTGTAAGCCATACTCATACCAGACACTTACATTTACGAAAAGAATATATGTATCATGCATGCTTACATTACGAAAAGAATATATGTATCATGCATGCTCACAGTATGAAAGAGAGGTCATAGACTGTGAGTGCATGTATCATATGCATGCACGTTTATATTTTATGAAAGAAACATCACTGTGCACTACCAACCTTTTACATTCAGGCATTTTATGATTGAAAGCACAAATTTTAATCAACTAATGTGACAACTTTTATAAGCATATATTATTAAATGTTTTTTTACAGTTTTAGTGATATTTCTACAAGTATAAGAATATCAACATTCTCTTGATGTATACCATAAAATATACTACATTGTATAAACAATTGGTTTCCTAAATTTAAGTTCAAGTTTGACGTGTTCCATTTTTGTGAATGTCTATTTTTAAAGTGTTGTTTGATTCACAATGACTTTATTTGTCGATGGGCCATTATACAATACAAAAACATACAAAACAAAGTATACTCTACTCCCTGTGTTCCATTTTACAAAATATTTTTTACAATATTGTTGACGACCTACATCTTGTTGTTTTTGTTCTACCAGAGGGACTATGTTTGCACTTCATCCATCAATATGTGTGTGAAATCTAAAAGACAAATATAAACATTCCTCAACACTTATTGGAAGTCGGTTCTTTACCCCTGCATTACGAGTGTCACTTTATCAGGGGGCATATCTGAAAGACTCTTGCCCTTACTAATGCAAATCTCTTTGAGACTCTCTGGAAATCTTGGCATCGTTTTTCCAGCCTTGACTTGCTTCATCACCCGTTTTAACCGTTTCTGTTACCTTTGTAATGGTTGTATAAGCAACTGAGTGGTTATTCCAGCACTGATCTTGCAGTTTTATTTTCACCAAATTTTAGAAGCATTTACTTTCTGTATTTTTGTTATTGGGTGTATTTAATTATAATTTACTCTATCATCTTTATGTTGTCAAGTTTGCTAATTATTTTTTTAATTTTGTTATCATGTGCAAGTCTATTATTTATTTTAATTAAACCTGTAATTGGCATTACAGCAACTTTATAACTGAATCATCATTGGGAACTTGTATGCCTTACTTTGAAACCATAACCATTAATTACCAAGGGTCAAAGCAGACTCAAAGTTTTTTGGACATTAGAGGAAATTGTCTCCATACCATATTTATCTGGCAATGAGCCCATGTCTGGAGATAAGCCCACCCATATCTTTTGCAGGTAAGGAAAAAAACATCAAATGCTTTTAAACTGTCCTTCTATAGGGGCAAGCATCCCTTTCTATTTATTGTTTTTATCTTTCACTTTGGTGCCACAGGGTAATTTTTTATGAAAATATTAACTTATTTCTTCAGGCGAGAAGGTAGATTAAAAGGATGAGCATACAATATATGGACAATTGTCATTAGAATTGTGTTAACATCTTTTCAAGTAACATTTGTTAATTCATTAATGGATTAAATAGTACCTCTCGTTCAAAACACTACGGGTAAAAGTCATTTTTGGAAAACTATTTATGGTAATTGATAACCTTGACACTATATAGCAGCCTGTTGTTAATCAAAACACAATTTACCTTCAATGTGTATATGTTTGTTTTATTAAGTTCAGAAATTGAATTCTCTTATACAAACTTGAGAGTAAACTTCTCATCAAATCAAATTTGACTTTTATCTATAGAGCTTTGTCGGAGGCATTTAAGATTATGCCATTCACATAACTTGAATAGTTGTTCGAGGTATCAGAGTTGTTTGTATACACTGTTCACCTCTTGTTTTAATTGTTCATTTGTTCAAAACTATATGTGAATGTTATCCTTACAAAATTCCAGTCTTTCTCTGAAAAGTCTCTATTCCCATTGTGCATTATGTTTCCCTTGTGCATTAAGATGTTCAATTTTAAAATTCATTTTTTTTTCTTTTTTGTTATTTTTTTGTTATTTTCTTTATAATTTTATATATTGGTATATACAGAAAGGTTAATAAAGAAATAAAGTTTCACTTCTCGTCCATAACACTTGTCAGAGACATTTAAAAACATTCCTTTCACATGACTTAAACAGTTGTCCGAGATATCAGAGAGTTGTTTGTACGGTCATTTATTCAAATCCTTACATGAATGTTATCCTGACAAACATTCCAGTATTTCTCTGAATAAATTCATTTTCTTTTGCGCATTAAGACGTTCAAATTCCGAATTCAACATTTGAACTTTTTGTTAATATTTTATTTCTTACAAAGTTGTGCTTTTGTTGCATATTTATAATTTTATGTATGAATATATACGGAGAGGCTAATAAAGAAATGAAGAAATACAAAAAATGTGATTAATTACTTTTTTCTTTATTTGGTAGCCAGAGCACCTAGCCATCTTGATTTCAATACTGTATACTGGGAAACCTTCGCCCAGTCCAACTTTTTGCCCTTCACCGGTATGATCTGTATTCGCCCACTGTTAATTTCGCCCTTCATTCGTAATGACTACGATACACTTTTGCTATTGTGATAAATTCAGCCTCGATGCTGAGGGCGAAAAAGGCGAAAGTTAAACTGTCACGAGAATTTACCAGTATACTGTATGTACATATACATTGTATAAGCAAAACGAATTCAAGAAATCTACATAAATACAACAAACAAGATTTAAAAGGCATAATAATTTTTCCCTAAAATACCTAATACAGATTACTAAGTCTGACCTTATTTAATAAACGAACAACTGTGGTCCGACCGGTTCAACCATTTAAACGAAAACGGCCCTACATTTCTATGGGACAAATGGGCAAGCCACTATTTATCTCACATAGACTGGATCAGGTATACAACTGTAACTAAATTAGATCATACAAATATACACACAAAACATGACATCATTTTGTGTGCCACAATTGATAAATTGAAGAAAATGGAACATGATACAACATAAAATTAAGTCCAATTTTGATTTCTTGAAAACTTGTTTAATAAAATTTCACTACATGTATCGTGTTACAGGGTATGAATAATACATAGTTAAAAGATTTCAACAATAAACTTTTTTTCCCACAATAAATTTGAAGTGCTAAATTATGGTCAGGTTTCTATGGAAATTACACTAGAGATATTGATAAAATGTCCATTTCTCTAACGTCGGTATTCAACTTTTGTAACGTAACAATTTTGGATAATTTTTAGAGGGTCCCCCCCTCTCCCATCTTTTCAGATCCTGTAATGCACATTTGCATTATTTGCAATGAGATGAATTCCTACATATAAATGGGAGATTTAATAGTATTTAATTCCTAAATACTCATTTGCATAAAATGCTCATTCTTACGGAGAAAAGAAACCCCAGTAAATTTTATGATCTAAAGTACTCTAGATCCTCTAGATCTACACTATGTTTTCTATAAAAAATGCCGTAATTTTAAATATCAGTTTTAATATCATGAGTTTAACTTAGATCTATTTGAAAATGAACAAGAAGTCAATAAGTATCAATTGCTCACCTGCTTTGGATATTGACCTAAGTGAAAATGATAATTTTCAACACATTTAACCCTTGTGACCTTCAAATTGGGTCGAGGTCATTTATTTGAATAAAATTGATAGCCCTCTATCCAAGCAAGCTACAGGCTCTGATGCCTCTAGGTCTTGTGGTTCAAAAGTTGATTTGAACATTTTATATCTTTGACCCTGGACTCTCAGTCTCTGCTAAAGTCATTTCAAGTTTTAAACATATTTGAATTCTACGACCTTCAAAATGGCAGTCGCCACCTAAGCATGATAAAGACCACATTAACATCACTCTAAGCCTTACAGAATTACTGTGAAAAGTTAACTACAGTTGCTTGTGCTGGATACCGTACAACAGACACCAATCATTGGTGAAGCCTTCACTACAGGGGCCAGACACAGCCTTCACTACAGGGGCCAGACACAGCCTTCGCTACAGGGGCCAGACACAGCCTTCGCTATAGGGGCCAGACACAGCCTTTACTACAGGGGCCAGACACAGTCTTCACTACAGGGGCCAGACACAGTCTTCACTACAGGGGCCAGACACAGTCTTCACTACAGGGGCCAGACACAGCCTTCACTATAGGGGCCAGACACAGCCTTCACTACAGGGGCCAGACACAGCCTTCACTACAGGGGCCAGACACAGCCTTGACTATAGGGGCCTGACACAGCCTTCACTACAGGGGCCAGACACGGATCATGTTGGACATGTGCAAGTCTAGTAGATCTATACAGGTATATCATGATCCCCTAGACTTGCACATGCCCCACATATTCCCCCTGTCCAATCCCTGTGACTAGGACTATGTGCAAGGTGAGCTAATAAGTAAAATATGTTAGAATGGAAAGCAATGAATTACATTCAACAATACTAAATTATTTGAGGACAAATGTACTGGTATACATAAAGGTGGTATTATTAGATACTTATGGTAACAAAATAATTATATGATCAACATAATTTAATAGTAGGAAATTATTAAAGAGGCATTGCCTCAAACACATAATTCAATAGTATCATTATCTACTGAATGGTATATTCTTTCAATTTAAATAGCTTCTCAACGAAGCCTTTTATTATAACAATATGATATTTATATTCAGATTTATCCATTAATTATGTTCCCACTATTTAATGGGGTGGGGTTGGACTATATAGTGTACCCTATGTCAAGGCACAACACACATGGTGTGGATATACGTTGTATTTGGATTATTCAAGGTTTGGTTTAGACATTGTATTGTATGAGTATTTACAACAGTTTAAATCTGTATACTACTATGTTTTTAAAACATAAGTATTACCCTGTTACCACTTTGATGAAAATGAAGCTAAACGCAAAGTCTAACCAAAGTCAGCAGGCAGAAAATATAGGCCTCAGTGACCTACATTAATGCAAAGACTAATTGATGTGTCATACAGATGAATGGAATGACATTAAGGCAAATGTTTCATGCCCAGTCAAGGTGAATAGGCAACTTTTCTGTACAAACTTCAATTTTTTTTTTACAACAATTATGAAACAAGTTTTTTCAATATTTATTAATCACTCTCGTTGGCTCCGATGTTAGCGTGCGCGGGTATTCATGCTGGAGGAAACCGGAGTACCTGGAGAATAACCATGTGTTTGGGCAGGGTTCCCCAAAACCTTTTCACATCCGATACGGTCCGGGCCGCCTTGGTGAAAGGCAAGTGCGCTATCCAGTGCACCCAACTATTTTGTCCCAAACAGTAACCTAGTGCTCTGCTACATAAACAACAAGGCTTATTAATACCTTGATAACAAAATCATCTCATCAAGTAAAAAAAACACATAAATGCATTAACACCATTCAGCTATCAAAAACTACCTCCATTCCCTTCATTTCAAGATGATATATGTAAGGCCATAATTTTATATTATACTTTATTTTATTTTACAAACTACAGTAATTTTGTCCCTGTCAGATTAAAAGTATAAATTCTGATATTCTACGCAATGCTTATTACGAGACATGCGCTTATTGCTTATTGTTAAAATCAAAGCAATGCTTTGCTGATAACAGCTGAAAATAATACGGGAACAATGTCACAACAAATTAAATGCAATAGCATTACCAAACTGAGCCAACATGGGGTAAAACAAATGGACCATGGTCTGCAAACTTGGGCTCAAATATAAAAGACCATGACTTAATACATGGGTCGATATGGAAGTATCTGATTAATAACCCCATGTTGTGTGTACAAAACGGTATACAAATAGATTAACACATATCATATATAACTCTAAGTAATCAATATATGTGACTACTGTATACATCCTCCAGTAAGCCCAGGAGACCAACACAATCTCTGACCCAAAGTCGGGCTGGGGGTTATTACAGGACAATGAATGAAATAGCATTTATTTGTATTTCTTCTGAACTGCATTAGATATAGTGGGCTTATTACCAGTCATGGGCTTATTTTTGGATAACTATAGTAGTAGTACTAGCTTAAGCAAAGTGGGCACGGGGTACAAAATATTCTAACATTTGGTCCATCTATCATTTAATTCATCAACGATATAGAAATATAAAGATTACCTTGCATTTATAACAGAAGAAGTTTAAATTCTTGTGTCCTGCACAGATACTTCTTTTTTCAAATATTATACAGACATTCGTAAACAATGGGGTAGTTTTTGAGGATTGTCGTTTGAAATTTGTCCAGCATTCTGTTAGATTTCTGGTTTATCTCGGTCAGAGTTCGTAACTCCACAAGTTTCGATAGATAGGTATGAAATCGTTTGTCCTCTCCTGGGTGGACTTGCTGTATGACATATTTGAGACACTGGATCAATGGCCATTGAATCTTTTCCACCTGGGACGGGTCATCTAGTGGACAGCGGTCTGAAAAAGTGAAAGAAATTACATAAGATAACCCTTTCTCTCCATCCATTAGACAGAGATATGTACACTTCCGATCAGGGAAAGATATCTCTGTCTTACTCTCTGGATTCGACTGTCATAATGCTATGACATCACGTCAACAAGAGCAGATCATGGGAGATAACTTTGCTGGAATTTAGGAATGAAACGTTTGCATTTCATGTATTATCACTTGTATTGGATGTGGGGTAAAGCCTCAGGCTAGACATTTAAGAATCTTACCCCTTGGGTAAAACATTTTCTGTCTTACCCCAAAGGTGGGGAAATATTATTCAGTATTAGTCTATAAATACAATTGCCCTCAATTCAAGGACTTAAATAAGGACTTTTGACATTCATTGTCTTTGGAAAAAGGTCCTGAAGTGTATAAAAATAATACATAAGAAAGACATTATGTATACCACACTATATGATACAGAAAGAAAGATATTAAGGCAAAGAGTACCACTGCCTCCATTATAACTGTGAAGAAGAGTTCCACTAACTCCATTATAAGTGTGAAGAAGAGTTCCACTAACTCCATTATTACTGTGAAGAAGAGTTCCACTAACAGTTTTTTTTGACTTAGAGTATTCTCCCTTCTGTACAGAAGATGAAACAACCAAAACAAGTTTCTCTGGCTTAGGGTATTTTCCCCTGTAAAGTTTTCCGTGTGCTTTGCAGGTAATAAATTGGACACTTATTTTGCTGTGGTGCTTTCATAATTACTGTATAGCAACATCAGTAAAGTGTAGGTTTTGCACGTAAAGGTTCCAAGTTTGAACCTTCAGTTTTCAATTTTCCTTTTTTTTTTTCTTCTTCAAATTTTCAAATTCCGAACAACTACAACTCTGTAGAATGCATGGGATTTTTTTTAATGGCATTATTTTTTTGAAAAGAACTTAAAATAAAACAAGCATTTCACGATAAAGACAATGGGAATTGTAAAGTTTAATGAGTTTGTACCCTTTATCTCAAGTTCATCACATCATGTGTTATCACTTATATAATAAAATGCATCATTTCGATATGTAGGAAAGACATTATGTATATAATCCGATATGATATAAAGGAAAGATATTTATCACATAATGTACTATGTTATAATTATCCAGTGGATATACCCATGTCATATTTTTTGCATATTAACCCATGTAATATGACCTATCAGCCCTGTGGTTGTAAGTTTCAATTGTTTCAATTGTGAAGTCATGCCAAGGAGAAGTACATGGCGTCACAGACTTACGCACTGAAGTCAAAATGGCGGCTTTTTACATTTCATGGTTGCATGAAAATTGATGTTTTACATGAATAAATGCCACAAATCTTTATTATGTGATAAAAAGGATCTTACACTCGTTTTCATTTCATATGAAATTTATGAAACTCGTAACAATTTTTTCTTTTTAGCTCGCCAGAGCAATTTATTGCACTTGAGAAGAAAGAATGTCTGCATGGTTTAACTTTAGCAGAAGTCAATAATGTTTTAAAGCCAATTAGAGGCAATCTTGGATTTTGAATGAAAAGAATCACCAACTGATCGGAAATTTTAGCATCAGCAAAGTAAATCAACCACTTACCTCGGAATACAATCACAATAGCCCTCAGCAAAGTGATTTCTTCATAGGACAGAGCAAGTTTGTGCATTGCACGAGCAAAATGTTCCAGTTCACAGACTACAAGCTCTGATCCCCAGTTCTGTATGCTTTCCTCACGATGAAATTTCATCTCATAACCAACATTGACCCCAAGGTCAGGGTTCATGTGGAGGTAGTGACCCAAGATCCAGTACTCAAACCTAGAGGCTGTGGGGAAACAAACATTTGTGTATTTTGTAGAATAGCCAATTGGTCTAATTTTATCAAGTGAGTACTTAAAAAAAAATTGACTGAGTGACAAGTTAAGTAAAATTCTCAACATCCAAACAATGAAAATTTTAAACCTAAATAAGTTCCAACAGTTCACAGTAATGGTGATAATAAACTGGAATGCGTAGATGTTATTGCTCTTTGAAATTATGTGCGGTAATTATTTGCTTGAGAAATTTTTGTTTATACCCAATCATGAAAATCAGGTATTATAATTATAATAATAATTCAAGGTTCTTATATACAGCTTAATCACAACCTAGTTCGTAGGTCGTCTCATAGTGGTTCACAAATTATTATCCGGGGTTATAGGACCTTTGCAACCAGCCAATATTTTCACAACTCCCTGGGGAGTATACAGGCAGTGCTGCCATTTCAGCGCTCACAGCATCCAACAATTCTAGCACTACCCAACCACGTACTCATTCACAGCTAAGTAAACTGGAACAATGGGAGTGCAGTATCTTGCTCAAAGATAAAACACAGTGCCGTGACGTGAGTCAAACACGCAACCCTTCGGTCACGAGCCTGGTGCCACTAGACTACCCTGACTCCTGCCATATTGCCAGTGTTAGGGCTTTGGAATCAATATCTTTCTAGCATGTGTCCTCTTGTTGGGGGATTTTCACTCACCAATTCATTCATTCATCCGTTCATAATTATCTTCCAACTTCAATTCAAGCGATTTTTTCATACATCACAATATATAACATAATTTGGTGGACAAACTCATTCATTCACTAAACATATATACCGGTATTCATGGATGCTGTACCTTTTCTAGGGTTTCACATATTGTGAAATCACTAATTTTTGTGGGGATTTTAATTTCATAGATTTCGTGGGTAATCTGCATTCACAAGTTCATAGTTCCACAAATAATTACAAGTTTGATATAAAGCAATCTCCTTTTAAATGGGTACTCACTATCCAGGAATTAATGTACTCAGAAAACCACAAAATTTAGGCCCCATGAAACATATCTGTCCTCAAATACGTGTTCTTTAGATGATGTACTGCACAGCTGTAAAAGCAATTTCTAACCCCCACTAATAGCATTTCACAACTCAAGAAATAGGGAAAAATTTGTACTAAAGCCTTCATTTCGTACTTTTTATGAGGGACAGTTTGTCTGCGTCTGAGAGGTCGTTGAAACCCGGGATGACTTTTGCGAAGGTGATGTACTTAATGATTCCACGATGTAAGTGACTAGCTGTTTTATCCAGCATTGCAAACCTGTCGTCAATATCAATTCCGGTCATCTGGTATAGTGTGCGATGCTCCTCTTGGCTAATGCTGCCCGATTTCAATCCGAACATTTCTTTTCGCAGTTTATAGGTATCCTGTCAAAAATATATGACTTTTCTTAAAAAAATGTTCGTTTTGTAAAAGATTTAATACACCTGGTATGCCAATACAACTTGCTATACAATTCTTTGACATTTAACGTCACTGTACCCAAATCGGGATACTTTTTAGTTTTTACTAACCTTGACCTAAGAAACTTTTTAAAACCCTATTGTACGTCTTTATATAACAGTGTATTCACCGTCATGTCAAATTTCAGAAAGATTAATCTTTTGGATTTCAAGGTAATCTTTGGAAACAAAGTGTGGACAGGTTGCAGACAGATGGACAGAGGGACACAGTGAGTACACTATAGGACTAATTGAAATGGGAAATGCTCATCCTTTCTGTAACTCCTTCTATATAAGATACATCATCAATAATACAATGTAAAACATACCATCAATACTGTACTTACAATGAAATCGTTTTGTAATTTCTCTGTGAATTCTTTGTCAAAGTAATTGATGAGGTTGGGGTAGATTTTATCCTGGGCAGTCACAAGAAGATTGATGATTTCTTGCATTTCGGCCTCCCCGAGGATGTTGTCTCCTAGCTGTGTGGAATGCACTGTAGGGTCAGACAGCATCGGACCCTCCTCTATAAATCTCCTCTCCTTTAATCTTCCACTTGTCCTTTTCTTTACTGGTGAAGGTAAATACAGTCAAAAATCAACCTTCGGAAATTGGAATTTCTCGATATGTCAAATTTACGACCAAGCCTGGATTATTTTCTTGTATAACACTAGTACTACTGATATTCTTTTTACAAACGTATGAATCAAACTTTCTTTTCTTAATAAAAGTTTTTGCTTTTTAAAACTATAATCCAGGCCCCATCATAAGGAAAACATTGAAAATTACAACTAATAAATCGAAGAAAACAATTACCTGTACAAGAACATTGCAATATTTTCTCTTGAACATACAATTAAATTACAGTGCACAAATACATCAAACACATTTTTCTTAAGACGTTAAATCCAATATTTATAGATTTCAATTTCATTTATGCCTTGTGTGTTTGTTATTTAACCAATCACATTCTGTCTTATGCAGATTTCAAAAGATGTTCAAAGTTGAACATTCATGAGTCAAAGTTTCGATGTTTCAAACTTTTCTCGAAGGTCCCTCAATGTTCGAAACATAAAGCTTGATTGTATAACTGTATAGAGAATAGTATTTCTCCTCGTAATGCCTCCGCTAGGGATCAAGTGATCATAGTGCCTACAGTTTGTAGCTACATGTAGCTACATGTCCAAGGCTCACAAACATAATACTGATGATGATGTACATATGTACTCATTTTGTGAGCCTTGGACGTGTATGAGCTATATATCAAGACTGCCAGAGCTATATTTCAACCATTGTGGATAGATAACTTAGATCTAATGTGTCCATGATACTTCACCTGGAGCAGAGCTTGGTAAAGGTTTTGTGATCCTCTCACATGTAAAATAAGTGGTGCAAGTTCTGATACCCCCCCCCCAGGGCCCAACCTCTCACCTATAGAAGAAGTGGACCCCTCTCCTGTAGGAAGAGGTGTGACCCCTGACCTCTTAATAGTAGCATAATTGTGAGGGAGTTTTTAACCTCTGACCCTTACCATGTAGAAGAAGTGAGTGGGAAACTTGTGACTGTTAACCCATCGATTTTAGTATACAGGGTTCAGAGTTATGTGACCCCTGACCCCTCACCTGTATCAGAAGCTGGGTCGGAGTTTGTGACATTTCACCAATCACATGTAGAAGAAGTGGGTGGGAGTTTTGTGACCCCAGATCTGTATCTATATTTGAAGTGAGTTTGAAACTGAAAGTTTTGAACTCTGACCCTCACCTGTGACAGAAGCAGGTGTGAGTTTTGCGAGTTGTGTGGCTGATGTGTTAATTTCGGAGTCATCTAATTCACTGCTAGGATTCCTCAACTTTATCTCCGTAACGATAGCCTTGTCGTGGTCTGAGCTGGACACTGCATCCTTTCCCTCTAGACGCCTGACCTCCATGATGGTCTTTGTACGGATCGCAATTGTGTATCGGCCATGTCGCACAGCTGAAAATATACAATTTCAAAAGTTACATTACATTTCAAGGAAATAAGCCCTTTTTGAGTTTGAATTTTGATCCTATCTGAGAATGATTGAATCCAATGTTAGTGAATATCCATCAGTAATATCTAAGGAGACGTTTTTGTACTAAGTCATCATGTATGGCCGGGACTGACTACAAGCATTTAAGTTAATTTTAAAAGAATTTCCAAGCTGTGTTTTTCTGCTAGCTTATCCCACCTTAGATTGAACTAGGTACTCAATTTCCCCCCCTGAATATTTCAATATTATAGAGACATCCAATTTGTGGCCTTGACCCTCAACAACCAGGCAGGTCAACCACTTTTTGAACTAGAACACTGACAGGTCAGTAAGGGCCCCGTCTTGTGGCAATATATCCCCATAATCATCAAGAAGCAATCTGCCCATATAGCTGAGCTTGACGTTTGACATTTGGACTTCAGAAAGAATTGCAAGGAAGCAAAATATACATTTTACATGTACTATGATGTGAGTCTTGTTTCCTTCCACCTCCATATTTGCTGGGCTAACAGAAATGTAAATACCTTATTTACCTCCTCCATCAAGAGCCACTTTGTCTTTGACCTTTGGACCCAAATGACCTTGACCATTAACCCAGTGGCCCTGATCTTTGGTCAGTTGACTTATTCTTTAACTCCGACCAACTTTGCTTCATAATATCATAACAAAATGTTCATCAGTGAAAAATACAAAACTTGACCTTGACCCTTTGGACCCCGTAACCTGGACCTAAGGTCAGTTGACTCTGTGTTAAGTTCTGAACAAGTTTGCTACATAATAATATAAAAAAAGTTCATCAGTAAAAAGATACAATAAGTGAGCTTGACCTTAATTAAGTCAGTTGACTCCTTTTTAAATTCGGACCAACTTTGCTTCATAATGTCATAACAAAATGTTCATCAATGAAAAGATACAAAATTTGACCTTGACCTTTGACCCAGGTACCCTTTGGTCAAATGACTCCTTGTTTAATTACCACAAACATTGCTGCATAATGACATAACAAAATGTTCATCAGGGAAAAGATACAAAATTAAACCTTCACCTTTGACCCAGTGACCTTGACCTTTGGTCAATTGACTCCTTGTTTAATTCTGAGCAACATTGCTTCAAAGTGTCATACCAGCATGTTCACCAGGTAAAAGATACAAAATTTAACCTTGACCTTTGACCCAATGACCTTGACATTTGGTCAGGTTGACTCTTTGTTTAATTCTGATCAACTTTGCTTCATCATGTCATAACAAAATATTCATCAGTGAAAAGATGCATAATTTGACTTTGACCTTTGAACCCAATGACCTTGACTTTTTACCTCAATGTGTATTTTTGTGAACTGAACATCTTGACCAATTCTGATTCTGATAATCTTACTCAATCTTGGTCAGAATCCAAATGTGAATTCAAATGAGATGTCATATGAAGATTTGTAACCTATGCTTTTTTATAAATATACAGGATATAACCACGGAATTAGATCTAAGTCCGTGATATAACACATGTTTAAAGATCCCTGTCCCACTGCAGACAATACAACAGAGAATTTTACTGTAGATTTCATACAGAAAGTAACCTCCCTTTAATTTAGCTTTTACAGATAACTCATTCAACCCTGGAATTTCATAATGGACTATTCCAACCTATGAAGTGGAAGAGTTCAAATGTGTCTTCAGGGGTGAATGAGTTAAAATATTGTTGTGGGATCTACTGCTGTTCTAATCCCAGTGTTGCCCAATTATATTTTTCACACAAAAATATTGATGTTATTTTTTTTTCATTTTATTACATTTTTTTTCATAGAAGTTTCCTTTTTGAAATGATTTATAATATACAATAATTGACCTTTTTGAAGGGTATACAAGGATTTGTCAACCCCCAAAAAAGGTGATGTTCTTTGAGGCCAATACAAAAGTTTCCAGTTCATTGGCAGTGGTGCAGGGATCCTTCATGGGAAAATAATTGTGCAAGGCCTGATTACACCAGAAAACGGCAGGACTTTCTACCTGTAGTCCTATGATTACTTGAAGGTCTCATGCCAGGTCAAACATCACATGACTGTACTATATATTCCCCTTATCTGAGAAAATAGATAGCAAGGAATCTATACAACTGTTTACCTGCACCCACCTGCTGACAGTATCGTGACGTCTGGTTTAGTGTGAATTAAAATATGATTATAAAAGAATTGTTAGCTTGAAACATTTAAGGGCAAAAGGCATCAATATTTACCTATCTCCAGTTTTATCTAACTATGTCAAACAGAATTTATTCTAAAATATGATCATCAAAGATTTGTTAGCTAAAGATAGAAATATCAAAATTGAAAATTGTCCAATATATGTGTCTTTCTTTAGTTGTACAGCTGGGTTATAGCCAAATGCTAAAAATATACATGTAAGAACAATTTGTAATCCATCCGAATGGATCATTTGAAACTGTCTATCACAATGTCAATGTAAACATGGTTTATTTACCTATTGTAAAGATAACAATGCTTTGGGAACAGCTGTTAAAAGCATCAGACGTTTTATTAACATATAACTTGATATTTATATTATATACAATACATACCTATTATATAAAATATCTTTAAATAGGAAAGCATGACTAAATTGAATGTATGGGGATTTAAATGTATATGGATGTATAAAATATGATTCAAAATTTGTCATTTTAAAAATTTGGGGATCATTCAACTAATACCGGTAGGTCTACAATTTTAACAATTAACTTGATGTCAAATATTCATAGTTTATGTCCTTACAAAGAAAAAAATGCACTCTGCAGCAATTCATTAAAGTCATGAAGTGGAGTACATCCTGTTGTAGACATATTAAGCCCTGAGTCATACAAGTGTGAACGTGCCTATCCCAAAAAAGATACGAGGCCAAGCAAAACTAGTTCTGTAATTCTGATTCTGATTTAACTAGAACTGTAAGCCAATTGGCTAACTAATACTCCCGCTCCTATATAAACCAGAACTGTATTCTAAAGGCTTACCAAAGCAATATAGTCTCCCACCAGTAATGAGTTAATCACTATTTTATTAATAACAAGAAAAGAAAATAACAAAAAAGCAGAGGCCCATAGGCCTTCACGTTCACCTGAGTCCTACAGTAGTATTTATTTTTGTTGTTGAAATATGAAGTGGAGATTAATAGAATCTATCGCTACTGGTTGTGTAAGATAGAGAAATCTCAACCCGAGGACTAAGATTTTTTGTCCAGAACGAGGCTTGCCGAGTCTTAGTCCGAGATTTCTCTATCTTACACAACCAGTAGCGATTGATTATTTTTCTTCCATATCTAACAGGATTTTAATGTGAAATAAAGGTAAACATGGACCCAAAACACATACAGGCAATTTGTTGATGGATTGTTGACGTGACGTCATTGTATTGTTGAAGTGACGTCATGCCATTGTTATGAATAGGGGAATCCCCCCGTCTCAAACCTAGGGCGGAGACAGATAAATCTAGCACCGGCAAAACGGGAGATAAATCTGTCAGGTGTGGGAGAAAATGATGTCCATCATCCCTACCAATTAAAGTAAAAAATTATTTAAGTATAACATGAAGTTAAGTTTGTCACAACCATGAGTTGATAATTCCTAGACCGAGTTTCATTTAAATCGGACTATTAGAACTTGATTTTAATTTTAAAATAGATTTTTAAAATGGCGGCCTTGGCGGCCATATTTGACTTCTGATCGACCCCAAAAATATCAACACTTTGTAAGGACAATGAGTCGATCATTCCTACCAAGTTTCAGCTAAAACAGACCAGTAGAACTTGACTTTAAGTTTGAAATAGTTATTCAAAATGGCAGCTGTGGCGGCCATATTGGATTTCTGATCGACCCGAACAAATAACAACACTTTGTCAGGACCATGAGTCGATCATTTCAACTAAGTTTAAATTAAATCAGCCCAGTAAAACTTGACCTAAAATTTGAAATAGTTTTTCAAAATGGCAGCAATGGTGGCCATATTGGATTTCTGATCAACCCGAAAAATAACAACACTTTGTCGGGACCATGAGTCGATCATTTGTACTAAGTTTCAATCAAATCAGACCAGTAAAACTTGACTTTAAGTTAGAAAAAGTTTATCAAAATGGCAGCCGTGTCTGCCATATTGGATTTCTGATTGACCCGAAAAACACTTTGTCAGGACCATGAGTCGATCAATCCTACCAAGTTTTAGTTAAATCGGACTAGTAAAACTTAACTGTAAGTTTGAAATATTTTTTTCCAAATTGGCGTCCGTGGCGGCCATATTGGACTTCTGATCGACCCATGAAGTATCAATGAAATCCCTATGACAGTATTTCAGCTTAAGTTGAAAATGTAAAATGTAAACAGACCACGCAGGAGCTAAAGCTCAGGTGACCTAAAAAAAAGAATTTCGCACAAAGGAACATAAAAGAGTAAATCCCAAATGAAAATGCTGTTGCACAACTACATAAGATATCGATTAACTTATCATTATATTATGTTTGTACGTTGCAGGTAGCAGTCAATCTTATTTAGATTAAAGAATTCGAAAGAAAGGAAGATGTTATTTCTCATTTTTGACTGCTACCTGCAGAGGAAACCTGCCTCTAAACACCACAGTGATACAATCTTACAGAACCCTGGCTGATCATCTGTCTTCAGAAGCATGTTCTTGATCAATCTTTCCTACTCGCTTTAGAAGTGCTGTCCGACCTATTTAACTGATTATTCGCACTGATAGCTAGCTGTACAGTAATTGGATTCTGAGGATGGGCAGAGAAGATGTTAATTTTCATTTACCGATCATTCATGCAAAGTTTCAATGAAATCCACCTGTTAGTTCAGGAAGAGTTGCAGGGACAAGTATTTCGCACAAAGGGGCATAACTCCATCAAAAAGGGTTGAGATACCAATTTAAAATGCTGGTGCACAACTACATAAGATACCGGTCATTCAAGCAAAGTTTCAATGAAATCCACCTGTTACTTAAGGAGGAGTTGCATGGACAAGTATTTCGCACAAAGGGGCACAACTCCATCAAAAAAGGTCACAATTCCAAATTAAAATGCGGTGCACAACTATATAAGATACTGATCACTCATGCAAAGTTTCAATGAAATCCATTATTTAGTTAAGGAGGAGTTGCGCAGACAAGTATTTTGCACAAAGGGGCATCACTCCATCAAAAAGGGTCACAATCCCAAATTAAAATGCTGGTGCACAACTACATAAGATACCGAACATTCATGCAAAGTTTCAATGAAATCCACCTGTTAGTTAAGGAGGATTTTTCCAGACAATTTACTGTGGACGACAGACATCCATACATCCAGACATTCAGACAGGGTGATTTAAGTATAATTACTAAATAGTAAATATTCAAAATGATAAAGATTATAGTGCAATTTTGGTAAAAATTTAAATGACAACAAAATAGATGCAGATCAGATGCATGACATTTTGTATATTTCCCTGTCACTGAAGTACCTTTTTTGTGAATTATAAACACAGCACACATGATGTAAATAACCTTATATAACATGTTTACACTGATATCTAAGTCATGTGACTTCAGGTCAATAAAGAACTTGCACTTGATCCTGTTTGAGTTTTAATGTATGGTCTATCCTGTTTTACACACACTCTAGGCCAAGCTGATTTATTGTGTGGTACAGGTCCCTTTTTTCTTACAACCAAGGCCAAGCAAATATTTGTATGGTTCTATTTTACACAAATTTTAAGTAAAGCAAATATTTTGTGCAGTCAATGACCTTTTTTAACATGTTTTAGGTCAAAATAATCTCATGTATGGTCTTTAGGTACTGTTTTTTACAAATACAAGGCCAAGCAAATTTCTCTTGTCCATGCTTGTTTGTTTGTATGGGGTTTCACCTCCTCACAATAGCCAGTCATATGAAAACGCCCTATTGTGTAGTTTAGGTATTGTTTTACATAAACTATATCAAGGCCACTGGAGCAAATAAAAATGGTATGATCAGGACTGGATACAATTTGACACACATTCAATGCCAAGCAAATATATTGTGTGGTTTAGGTCTTGTTTTACATTCAAGGCCAAGCAAATCCTTATTTAAGTGTTCATATGCAATTATGAATTTAGATATCTAAATTTTAATATTAAATCATGATGAACCACCAATGATTTACATATTAAATACATCAATTCATAACTGCTGCAGTAACTTGCTTACGCTTGTTTAGACTTGAAATTATTATATTTATATCAACTATAGTATACAAAATTTAGAAGAAAAAAATGCCAGAAAGTTAGCTCTTTCATCATATAAACATAATTCTGAGATGTGAGGTTCTACAAGAGGCATATCCATTATGTCTTAAACATCTGCGTTTTCAGATTTGGGTTTGCATGGTGCAGCTACTGAGGTATAGGTAGCTAAGCTGTTTAACATCTACCTCAGAAATGCACTTTCATAGCTATTGATCATTGTTTGCAAATCAATACAGGTATTTTGAGTTAAATCCATTTTCTTCACAGATCAGAACATAACGACAGTCAATATTAAAGGACAAGAATCTTAAATGACCTCCCCTTGACACCCAAGGTCAAATCATACACACAACAGTCATGGGTTATCATCCCTTGACATATCACACGTCAAAACATTTGTGCACAATACAATTGAGATTTACCTCCCCTTGTCAACCAAGGTCAGAACATTTGTACTGAAAATTGTGAGTTACCTCCTATTGACAACTAAGATCAAAACATCTGACGTTTGTACACACAAATATAGTGAGTTACCATCCCTTGATATCCAATGTCATAACATTTGTATACACAACAAATAGGAGTTACCTCCTCTTTACAACCTAACCTAGAAGATTTTTATACATAAGTGTGAGTTGCCTCCCCTTAACATCCATGATCACAGCTTGGTCAATTTTTTCTTGAATTACCTCCCCTTGGCATACAAGGTCAGCTGACATTCTTAGTTGAATAGATGATGATGATTGGGAGAACTGCATCATCGGAGTTGCACACTGTGTAGAGCACATGCTTTCTGAAGTTAACAGTTTTCTTGAGAAGTGAATCTCAATTTCTGAGAGGTCAGTTGTACTGACCAATGTAGTATGTAAATAATCTGCAGTGTTGATAACATAACAATATGACATTTATATACCATGTTTTCTATAATTGTACGAGTTAATTATTGTAACAGTTCACTCATGTAAGACATGTAATCTCTATTTTGAGGAAATAAAGAATATGTCTGTCTATTGTTTTATGCATGGATGTCAATCTAGTACTACAGATGTATATATTTTCACTTACCTCCTCTTGACATGCCAAGATCGAAACATTTCTTTAGACGACATGCTGAGCAGTTTCCCCGTCGTCTGTCTGTGATCACACATTCATTAACACCTGTGCAGTGGTACTTATTTTTCTCCATGGAGGCGCGCCGAAAGAAAGCCTGCATGACAAGTAGAAAGCAAGTTCAAACATTGTCTATTTGACTGATGTATGTATTTTTGGCGTTTTGGGCCAATTAGAAGGATGAAGCTCTGTCAAGTTATGTAAAACTAATAAATTTTAACCTGTCTTAACTGGACTCTGTGCAAAATGAATTCCTTTAACTCATTCACCCCTGAAGACACATAGTTCATTATGAAATTTTAGGGATGAATGAGTAAAAAAACTATGCATGGTTGAAGCCTGATTAGCTTCAAGCATTTTTAACCTAAATTTTCAAAATGTGAATTTTGAGAATAATCTGAATTTTTAAAATTATTTTTGCATTTGTTGTCCTTAAATGATCATATTCAATCCTATTCATACAAGTTTTGTTTTGATTTTTTTCAAATTTTGCATAAATAGCCATTAAATTAACCGGATTTTGAGCAACTTTGCCAAGGTCCTAGTTGTCATCAAGCTTTGTGAGGCCAAATTAAATAATATTTGTTTTTCATTTTCCATTAGGATTTTGAGTGCTGAATAGTAGATTTATTAATTTTTTGAACATTTTATGCCAAATATCATGAAACAACAATAATTATATTGAATTAATATGTGTGATTTGAAATATAATTCTATTCTAAAGGTTTTAACAAAACTGAATCATTTGTGGAATGCATTTCAGAGATTCAAATGAGCAGATTTTACAAAATAAATAATATTTTTTTCTGAATTCAGGGTTAAATATGTTTAAGGTTAGGAACATTTTACTCCATGTAGTATAAGGGAATAGGAAACACATATCATTTCATTTTAAATCCTTCATATAATGTCCCTTCTTCACTTACTTCAAATATATTTAAATGTCTCTTTCTCTCAAGATTTCCTTTAAGTTTTTCCCACAATTTATTGTCAAACCCCTATGATGGCAGTATAATAAGGTTTTATTATATATTGGAATCACTGAGATAATCATTATAATTAAAATAAAGAATTCTAACATGTATGTTATTGGGGTAAAAATATGACCTCACACAAAAAATATTAAACTACTTTTTTTTTTAGATGTTTTGGAATCCATTACTTATCAAATGCATCAGCATACATGACACTTAAAATTACATGTTTTATCTTGAGACTTATTTAATAAAATCCACAAATAAATATTGTGTGAGATACTATACAGTGGTGTCAATGAGGGTAGTATAATTACCTTGCAAGCTTCACAGGTATTAATGCCATAGTGTATTCCTGTGGCAATACCTGTACATATACGACAAGGTGGCAGAGTAAGGGGGTCCGACATCCTCAACAGGTACACAAGTAAGTATTATACCAAGTGTACATCACAGGTAAACATACATCAGAAGAATGTCAAAGGTAAAAATCCAGTACACACATGTAGCAGGAATCTACAGTAAAAGGAAAACAAGCATACTTATTATATGTAATTATTTCATTTACTTCGTATATTTGTATGACAATTTACATGTCATACTCAGCAGCAGAAACACTTTAAACATTAAAAACAAGCAAATTCGAGGAATTTATCATGCTGTTAAGACATAATGTATAGCTTGAAGCCTTATCTAATATTTGCTAGAGATATTAAGCGGAAATTGCAGATAATGACTCTGCCTAATGGAGTCCGATTAAAGTGGGTGTCAAACTTTGCCGAGCCCTTAATGCGTTGAACCCTGTTACTAAGTTTGAAGACAATTGGATACTATTTGCGCGAGATAATGAACAGAAACAAAAGATGAACTTGGCCGAGCCCTTAAGGTATTTAACCCTGTGACCAAGTTTGGAGAAAATCAGTCAACATTTGATGTAGTTATTGCACGGCAACCAAGCGTGACAGACAGACAGACAAACCCAAATTAATATCCCCCGTTTCGGTGAAAGCGGGGGATAAAAAAAGACATCTAACCGAGTTCATATACTCATCATAACAATCAATGACAATAACATATTAATTAATAATTGAATTTCTGAAAATGTTAAAAGTGTACTTCAAATTCATGAATACAATACTGAAACATCAATATGGTTATAATTAAGAGACTATGTAAAATCACTAAACTACTTCAAAAAACAATATAATTATTATGTAAAATCATCTTTCATGCAAGTAAATGAGTACAGTAAAAAAAAATACCAATACAGTAATCAAACCCCAGCACTGCAAGCAGTCCTTGTCAAGTGATCGTTATAATCGTGACAAACTTACAAGTGTAGCTGCTGAATTATATTAAAAGATTGCGTAATCAACATCAAGAACTACTGCACTCAAAACTGCTACATCATGGCTATATAACATTTTGACAATTCTTTTTTTTTAAATTTAAGCTAGACATCCGAAATGTAATTAAAAGAAATTTATATCCATATGTCATTATATATTTAATTACCATGGCAATGCTCTCTAGCTTAGATAAACATCGTGTACAATTAGGAAACAATCACGAGATACAGTATGTTCCTAGAAAACAAACCTGCCACACCCCTTTCGAAGATTTGACATCTGAGGATTTTGTTTAAGTCATACAGTGACAACAAAAATCGAGGTTACAGCTAGATCAACTACTTGCAAATATAACTATTAACCGAAAACAATGTTAAACCAGTTTCCTCACCTATAAACAAAAATGATATGTCGCTACACAGGTATTTGGATTAACGTTATTGGTTTACACCACTACACAGAGTATATGAACTACATAACAACAACTGAGTTCCTCAGGTTGGGTATTTCTTACTTTTATCACGAGGTCGATTAGGCCATTTGCACTATTAAAACTAGGTCAGAAAACTTTAAGTAGTAATGACATTAATTTGCATATATCTATTGATCCTCGTAAATTAAAAATTAAACAAATTCAACCTATGTCATATAGAAATGAACAGATCGAGTTTCTCACATCGAGTTCTTACCTGTGAGAAAATGTCATCTGCTCCAAAACCCAATACAAATAGAGTTATCTTCCCGCAATTTTGTAAAATGTGCGTGGTCAACAGAACGTTTGTAACCCGCAGATAACAACATGTGCGATGTAACAGCATCGATGCTACAGATGCTGCCATTCCATCCGGGATTGCGGCAACAAGGTAAACTGTTTATGCTAAAAAATCATTCTTGCGAGCAAATTTCATTAGTTTGCAGGTAGGAATGACACAGAAAAAAATGTCATGCACTTACCAAACAAGAGCATGTCTGTCATACCGCTGTTTAACATCCTGTAACCGTGAACTTTCTTTGACCCACATAAACCACTGCAGTATCAGACGATTCTATGGATTTCCCCCGGCAGTACAGCTGTAGCCTGTGCATTGCTGGCAGCACATCAGTATATTTCCGTTATTTACATACGAATTTGTTTATCATGTCGCTGTGCGTGATTTTCATTTTCATAAGCACAGGCAGCACTAATTTAAAATGTATTTTAAACAAACAGTTTAACCATTCTTAAACAGGTCATTTTTTGTACATAAGAAATAATCAATGACGATTTGTACTATTGTAATAGGCCGCGGAATAGTGATAAAGATAGTGTCAGACGTCCCTGGGCCTTGAACCCGTGACCATTGGCTCTCCAGTCCGATGCTCTGCCGCTGCTCTGCCGCTGAGCTAAAGCCTTTAGCTCAGTGGTAGAGCATCGGACTAGAGAGACAGTGAAATTCCCTACAGCTGGCGCTTGTAAGGCAACCTAATTAATCCACATCTTTTACACTATTTTCCCCTTTTTTCAAACACCAGCCCAGGTTCTTTGACTCCCCGTCAAGGGTTCTCCTACCTTGAATGGTGAGGGTCAAGGGCACCAATTTGTAATAGGATGAGGAATAGTGATTCCCTATAGCTGACGCTTGTAAGGCAACCTAATAAATCCACATCTTTTACACTATAAGAAGATGTTAGGTGAACTGTTCTAGTAGTGTTCCCTGACCAAGCATTCTGTACTCACATTTAGTGTTGACTTGCTGAAGTGAATTTGGTCACGGTAATGTAGCAGGAATAAATATCAAATGACTAAGACTTGGAATTGAACTTCAGGTACCCTTAGTGTTATTTAGTGTTTATTTACATCTACTTCCTAATAAAATTGTTATTAACTTGATGTAGGGCTGCAATGAAACATTATCATGATGATGCAGTATGTATCACAATACTGTAGTCACGATACATATAGTGACAGTTAGAAGCAAAGAGAAGGGATATGTAGCAATTTTAACTTCAATATTACACAGGAAATAGACTCGTCCAAAATGTACATAACTTCAAAGATTCACACAATTCACGTCTTTTGATGGGCATGCGGAGCACTGGAGCTGTCACTTGCCACGTTGGAACCGGTAACGGGTTGTTTCGCCCCAAATCCCGTTCGTTCTAATGGTTGTTTCGCCCCAAAACCTGTTCGCCCCAGGTTGTTTCGCCCTAAAAAACACAGATACGTATAGATATGGACATATAATGAAACTCTAAGTACATAGATACGTATAATATATAGATAAGATATGGACATATAATAAAAATATAATAAATTAATAGTTTCTCTAGAGACGTATACGAAATGTAAATAATTCCCCAAGTACATAAGATACATATTCTAATTGTTAAGCAGATGTGTACATTTTAATTATGAACTAAACGTTGGCAATTTACTAAGGGAATTATCAAAATACATTTAACATACTTGCATAATAATGTACTTACCAGTCTGGCAGGTTCTAAGCTGCCAACGGACACACATCACATGAAATACCATGCTGTCTGCGTCTAACAACAGAGTTGCACAAAATGCATAAATCATCCATTCCGTAATGTTGAATTATAACACAGTATTGAGAAATGCCCTATTTATGACAAGTTACAGGGGCCAGCAAAAGCACTCATCCGCTGGTCCTGACGAGTGGTTTTTGCCGGCGGACGAGTGATTTTTTACAGCAACTAGTCCGTTGGACGAGTAAATTTTGATGGAAATATCAGTTTTAGTAACTTTACTTATCGTTTTTTCTGTGTGATAATAAATGCCAAGCCCCTTTGATGCATTCTCGTTATTTGTTTTCACTTTTGACAAGATTGGTGAATACCAAGTCTAACTCTAACTTACGCTTGTAAAGACCCGCCAATGCCATGCCTGGCTCCTAAGAAGCAAGCGTTTAATTGATAACATTACAAACTGATCCATAACGTCCGAGTGTTCTGATGATACTGTACTTGTTATAATGGATAAAAAACGAGGCTATCCAAATGATTCAGAAGAGGGCTCTGACGACTGAATGTCATTGTGTGAAATGACTAATTATTTGTGTTTATGCGTTACTTAAGACTAATTAATTTGTGTTGAACTGTTCACATGTTATTATGGACTATTAAAACAAAACAAACAAATATTAACAGGTTTTGTGACTTTTAATTGTATGCCATACATTACCACACAATAATACATGTTAATTGTTAATATAATAGATACAATTCATTAACATATTATTTAAACAACATTTTAGTATAAAATTTCGGACATGGGAATTTTCCATCCGGACGAGTACTTTTTACCAGTCCACTTGCCCAACGGACGAGTGCTTTTAAAAGTTTTTCCCGGCCCCTAAAGTTACCTACTCAAAATTATCTACTCAAATATGCATATGAATTTGTATTGGTCAAAACTTCTCAAAATGATCTCCAATTAGCAAAAAACAACACGGACGTGCGCAGAAATCAAGTAAAGAAAACATCGTCACACGGTGACAATTATGTGTACACTACACTAAATGTGATAACATTGAAAAATAATATTGTTGTATACCCCGCAATGTAATTAAAATTACACCATTTTTGTTTCATTTCACTATATGTTATAATGTGTGTCGGCGTGAAGAAAATAACGTAATCTGTTTTTTGCTTTACAATGTACTTAAAAACAACACAAACACATTTTTTTTAATGATATGAAAGACTAAGAAGACTTAATTTGTGACTTAAAACAAATAAAAATGAAAAGAAAATACCAAACAATGTTTCGCCCTAAAAAATTGTTTTAGGGCGAAACAACCTAGGGCGAATGGGATTTGGGGCGAAACAACCCAGAACTGTTGGAACCAATATTAGTAGACTTAATTGAGAAATGACAAAATCCTGAAAATATCTTGGGTGTATCATACCGTATTCAAAATATCGCGATATCGTCGCAGCCCTAGCTTGTAGAGGTCTCATATTTATATTTGTCCATTCAGATGAAATCATAATATCTTCAAAAAAAGGAATAGTTTAGCAAATTCACTGGTTAAAAATGCTCGATTTTAGGGTCAAGAATTGGGAGTCTCCCTCAAATAGAGAGAGGAATCTTTTGAGCTGTTCTTTCAGAGTAAAACATTAGATGTTAGAAAATAGGAATAGTGGCTGGTTCCTACAAATTGGCTGATTGAAAATGCTCAATTTTAGGGTCCAAAATTTGGAGTCTGAGTCTCTCCCCAAAATAGAGAGAGTTGGCAAGTTTGTATATATTTTGGTGACACCATTTTATGGAGTTGTATCTCTTGACTACGTGACACTACACGATGGTGTTACTGGAAGTTTTTTCAGGAAACACAAAAATTTATTTATAACTCATCAAGAACCAAGCATTAATGTACAGCTTTACTTAATACATTTTTTTTTTATCTTGTACAATATTTACCTATACCTGAAAAACTGATATATTTATTTCCTCGCACATTCTTTTTTGTTGTCTTGACATTCTTATGTTTGTAGAAACAATTACAAATCAGATTGTAAAAGCTACATATTTCATATTCCAACTTGATGATCAGATGATCTGGATCTTTTTCTCAAAGAAAACAATTTCTTAAGAGAATATTGCCCCAAGTTAAGTATAATATCCAATAATCAGATATAGTTTATTAAATTACATAATAGAAAGTCCTGATGCTATTCAATGATCCTATCCTAATAAGTATGTTGTGTGCTAAAAAGTATGTCAGTTTCAGGAGGCCTAGGTCTGGTCAAGTGTGAGGAAGACATAATCACATGTGTATGATGGATTATATGTAATACCTTTGTTTCAGCAGGAAGTTGGACTGGGGATGGCGATGAACAGTGTGGATATGTGTGTGTGTGCTGGGCTTCCTTGATTGGACTTCTGTAGGAACAGTATGGACAATGTTTCTATGGGCATAATGGTGGGCAGTGACCTTCGACCTTATGCCTGTCAAGTGTGTAACAAACGCTTTACACAGAAGGCCCACCTCATCACACATAAGCGGACGCACACAGGAGAGAAACCTTATGCTTGTCACATCTGCCACAAACGGTAAGCTGGCGATTGTCTACAGTAACATGCCATAAGTGTTCGGTCACTGATTAATTTTACATTTTATTCTTCACATGTATTGCAGTGTTTTTCACAAAGACTTGTCCTCGTTTCATTTCTTAATCAATTTTAGAAAATAGAAAAAAATACGCTTATAGAAAATAATCAAGTTATCATTTTGATAAAATGTTCATAATTTTCTGATTTCATGTCCTTGAGAAATGACAGATTCATATTTGATTATTTTACGTGTTCCGGCCAAGTTCATAGCTACCATTTATAGAAATCAGTCAACCAGTTTAGTGACATCACTCTAGCAACTTCATTTCTGAATAAAGTTTGATAAAACTAAAGGTCAGTTTGTATTTCAGTGTTCCATTTCTGGAACATATATTGTATTTGAATTGATTAGGTGCCTGTTCTTATAAGGGCATCCCCAGGGAGAACAGAAATTTAACCTGAATTACTCATTGTCAAATTCCTAATTAAAAAGAAATGGTTTTGCTGAATACATGTAATGGATTAAGTGATTTCTGTAAATTTTGTCTTGACTTGTAGATTTGCCCAGTCCTCGCACCTGAACACACACAAACGTATCCATACAGGTGAAAAGCCCTACTTCTGTACTCTCTGTAATGTGGGCTACTGTCGTAAACAACGACTAGAGCTTCATCTTCTACACCAGCATTCCCGTGAGGCACTCGCCGCGGCCAACATCACCATTCCTGATGACCTGAAGCTTGAAGCCCAAGGTCAAGAAAATCCTGCTCTTAATCTTCTTGAATTCCAGGAATCTAGCATTGTGTTTCCAAACAATGGACAAATGAACAGTATAGCTGGAAACATAGATAGGGCAAGTCCAATGGACTCAACTGTTTCAAGTTTTGCATCCAGTCGACGGAAACCTTCCGTGGTGAAGCGGATCAATCTCAGTGACCAAGAGGAAAACGAAAACCTGATAAAGAGTGAGCCAATAGATGGCGGTGAATACATGGTGACAGGCAGTGGAAGTACCTCCGAGGTAGGGGAGGGACTTTTTACGCGTGACCAGGTTGACACCAGTTATAATGCAGGGCAAAATAGTAGCGAGAAGGGCAGGTCAACAGGTAGGTCAACAGGTAAGGGGTCAGAGGTCACAGAGGCTTGTGGGGTGAGCACTACTGATATGAACAATAGCGGGTCGGGAGATGAAATCGAGGGAGACGGAGCTAGTGTGACTAGCGAGAGTAATCTGTCTGGGTCAGAACAGAGCTTGCCCACATCTGTACGCAAACGTTCAATGCTGTCTTATTCCACTTTGGGTCGCAGTCCGAAATCTGTCAAACGACATCACCAGCAACACGCTAACAATACAGGGGGACAGAGAAACACACTCCCTACTTACCAGCAGCAGATTGGCACAAATTCCCGTATCTGTCTGGTCAACTTTACGAGTGATGACCTGATCACGCATCTCATGTCGCGGGATGATGTTTATCGGTGTGATTTCTGTTGCATTGTATTCCAGGATGCTGCTATGTATCATCTCCACCGTAGCATGCATGAAAAGATGGATGTACGATGCTGTAACCTGTGTGGTAAGCTGGCCCAGGACAAGTATGACTTCCTTGCTCACTTTCTTAGCGAACATAAGTGATTTTGAAATTTTTCATTTGTAACCTAAATGCAACTGAAATGTATTTCACTTTTTTTTCTTCCAAAGAAAAGAAATTTCTCTGTTTTTTCTCCACTCTTTTTTTTTTTTAAATTTGTTTTTGCTTTGTTTCAAAATAAATTGTTGTATTTAGTTCCAAAATACATATACTGTATGTTCCCCCCGAATATTTCAGTGTATACATTGCTGAAAAGGCATCTTCTATTAACATATGTTGATTTAAAAGACAACACATACATTGTTAGGGGGATGCGACATTCTATGGGCCAAGGTTTCAGATCAATTATCTGCATGCCATGATGTATTGATGACATTGTTGCTTGGTTTGAGTATATATATACAGCCAAGATCACAGGTACTAGTCGCATTTGATTTTTTATGTCTTTTCATAGTAAGCAGATAGGTATGCATGACAGTGTTGACAATGGAATTTGTCAAACTTTATGTGGCAATCCGCCTCTTTATCTGGACACAAAAAGGAAACAATTATATTACATAAAATATGTAAAAGAGAAAACGATAGTTTTTATGCTTATTTTTAAGCATATTCCTTCAGCCAGTTGCAAGCTGAAGGCCATTGATAGTGAAAAATCCATTTTTAAAGGATTGTGGATAAGTCTTCAAATGCTGTTGATTGTTATCTAAAGTTGCAATATGAAAAAAACTGAATGTCGAAAAATCAGGTTGTCTCAGCACGTTGGGATGGCAGAAGTTAGGAAATTATGTATTATGTAACAGTAAAATATAGTAAAGTATGTATTAATAGCAATACGAAGGAAACATGTTTTGTAACCAGTACTTGTGGATGAAGTAAGAATCATATGCAACTGTGTAGATCATATTCCGACTATATGGTTGCATTTTTGGAGTACTATTGCAAATGCAACTGTTTCAGGAGAGCAAGCATGCAAGTTATTCAGCTCTGCATGAAAGTCTCTTTTCCAGAACTTGGAAATATTTTCCGGTATTAATCATTTACAAATGAATTAAAATATTAACTCATCTGTAACCTTGGCCTGTATCTATGTCGTTTAATTGCTGTAAAAATGTTACAAATATGTATGTGCTTTGTAACTACATGTAATTATTTATCTAACACAATTCTACCGAGGCTGTACTATAACCTACTAAGCTGTGTTACTGTTAAGTTTAAGTGTGGATCATGTCTAGTATATATTATACAATGTATACAACAGTCTCCATCACTACCGAAAACATTATTTCTATTAGTTAGCTTTTTTTGCATAAATTTGTTAATTGTTTTTATGTACTAACATATATGGTGATACACTTAAAATAATGATAGAAGTCATATTAACTGATTCATCCCTGAAGACACATTTGAACTCTTCTAATTCAAACGTTGGAATAGTTCATTATGAAATTTCGGGGTTGAATGAGTTGAAGTAGAAAAATGTACAGTATGTGTATATTTATAGTTTTAAGTTGTAATCTTTCAAGCAGAATCTTCATTTGGAAAGTTTCGCTCATAATTAGTCTAACAAGGTTTGTTAAAGTGTGAATTCTTGCCACACTACTTAGGATGTTAGCACTATAGAGTTTGCAGAGTATATTAGCACCTGAAACAAAGTAAGAATACATTTTTGATAAAATTATATCTATCAAAGCTGTCTAACTAAGTGCACAATCAAAGATTAGCTTTGAAATATTACAGCATCAGAGAATTGCAGATCTCCCTCACCACCACCAAAAAAGGAGAGCTTCAAATCTCAATTACATATGTAAGATATTATAAGCATAGCACCAAAACTATAGCTATGATTAGACTACTTAATGGTATATTTGAACAAAACACAATAGTATGACTAAAATCCATTAACTGATGTATTCCCTTAAAGATTGTCTGAATCCAGAATACCTGTAGAATTAAACATCGATAGTCACCTGAAGTTTCAATTGCACTGTAATAATAGTGATAAGTATTTTAAACTTAAGGAGACTCATACCAGTGCTAAAAACTGAAACTATACATTTAAAACTGATTTTTCAGGTACAACTACAGCTTTGACAAATATTTTTTGAAAAGAAAAGTAATAACAAAATATGGAACGCCAGTAGTGTTGTTCTAAAAATAAAAAGTGATTGTAGCAAGACCAGGATTCGAACCCAGGACTTTACTTCAAATCGTTATACTTTTGCTATAACCAATTTAAAACACTGTACTTGGTCAACGGAATTGTCATGGTCCAACTGTGCTACAGATATATCCAATACAAATTAAGGGGAAGTTACTGTTTATACATAAATCAAGCTGCTGTCAGACAGGGATCCTCGATATAACCTACCTTTATCAACCAGAATAATTGTAACTGTACACATTTGAACATATTTCTACCAGTCAGAGTCATTGTAACCCTATACAAATACATTACAAATCTTTGCCATTCAGAATCATTTTAACCCAATACATAAAAAATATAATAAAGACTTTTTGTCCAAAATATTCACATTATCTTGTATGTTTCTCTATAAAAATAATTATTCAAGTTTTTGTTGAGCAAGCAATATTTGTTGTACCGTCAGGTATGTAAGTATGTGTATACCATTCATCTATAATTAGACATGTTCCATTATAATTATACATGTTCCATTAACTGCAGTGATACATTACATGCTTAGTTTTGAAAAACAAACAGCAGACTGAATTCTTTGATTTCTTTGTTTTGTTTTGAAATTTGTTAATTAATGATATAATTATTGAAGGTAACATAATGTGTATCTGTTTATACTTTTTTTATGGAATACAGATGTACCATCACACAGTCAATGACATTACAGTGTATTACTAATAAGGAATTAAGGGTATATGCTACCTTTCTGTGACATCACCAAATTTCAAAAAAGAATTCTACACTTAAGGGTATATGCTACCTTACTGAGACCTGTATCACCATTCAAAAAGAGTTGCACACTGATTGAAATACCTCCTTTACCAAAGAGTTCTTTGTTGTACGCTATTTTACTGTGATATATTAGATCCGTTTCAAGATTGTGTCCTGCTTTCAGGAACCTGTAAGTTATCTTTTAATGAATGGGAAATCAGGACTTTAAATTAGGAAATTATCTATTCCACTCAGCTTAGGGTACACATGAATACAAGAATTCATAACACTTGTTATTATATAATGCTTAGGAAAGTGTTTTAAGGGAGATTACTCTCATTCCAGTCACTGGTTGAATGTGTAAGATGGCATGTCTCTTTAAGGGATCTAACTTTTACATAAAACACAGGCATAATAGGTAAAGTTGCATGTCTCCTGAGGGAAATTACTTTATCATAAATAACAAGTATAATGTATAAGGTAGAATGACTGAATGTCTCCTTAAGGGAAATAACTCTTACACAAATCACAGGTATATATTGTAACCATTCCTTGTTTTCAATCTGGGTGCCACTGTACAGTGTATAAGAACTTTTTGGTATGCTGTTGGTAAAATTCCTATAATCTTTATGAGCTCATTTTGCTATCATTTTGAGGAAAAAAATGGTTTTATTTCAGAGTTAAAGAAATTTAACTTTTTCTTTTTTGAATTTTCTTCCTTAGGCTGTTTTCTTTCTGCTTAACTATATTTTTGTTAATGACTGTTATTCACCTATTATGAGTGCTTGTTTTGACTTTGGTGGAAAGCTATATTCACAAACACATTTAATGTATATTAAATTCTCTTGCGGAACAAGTAAGCTTTATAAAAATTCTGCAATAAATATGATCACGAGCCTGAGGAAAAGATGAGCATGTAAAAATATAAGAAGTTTTTATTGTCATTAGAATGTTCTCTGCTACCGATCTATAAACAGACTTATTGTTGATGATGCTGACATTATATATGATGTCTATGTGATAGTGTGTGATTATATTACCAATGTATATTGTAGATAGGTTGTGTATGGGTCGTGTCTTTGTTATAATACCATACATAATGCCAATTCGAGTTTTATTCGGTGATTATTACGTCGGATAGTATCCGAAATTTCCGTCGACAACTGATAACATTGTTGATAATTATTTAATTCATGAATATCAAATTACCATAATTAAGTTGCTGCTCTTTAAAATTAAAACAAATCAATTTTACTCCATATATGCTTCAGAATATGCATGCTTCACTTATCCTTAGTCGAGATCAACATTTCTAGAAAAAAATGAATCTCTACCTGTGGTTCTTTAGGGTCCCTTTTACCTTGATATTCACCTTTATATTAGGTAACACATTTGCTAACAAAAGAAAAAGAAAAAAAGTTGTTACAAGTTTAGAGGTCAGTCCGTCACCTTATATTCAGATATAATTTGATTGCATTCTCCTACTGAACTCCCGGTACTCCTTTCTATATTCATGATATGCACAGTTTGCTTTGGAATGTTGGTAGGTCAAAAGCAAAGGTCAAATGCCAAGGTCAACATCATATTGCTTACTGTAAATATAATTTCAGTTTTATAAGGTCTTGTAATCCAGTGAGCGTGAGAAAATTGAAACATAACAAAAATGGAGAAAGTTGAGACCAAAAAAAATTTGCACAATATTTTAATGAATGAACACCATAATAACTTGTCCGAATTGTTCTGACGTTTTATCGACTTTTTTCATATCGGTCTGTCGTCGATTAACGTCAGAACTCCGCCCCTCTATAATATGCGGGAAATATGCGACCTGCACCCGGAGCGCACTTCAAACTGATATTTTAGAAACAAATCGTCACTTTCAGACACATGTCCCACATGGATCGAAAGATCTATTCTTTATGCACTAGGTGGTATCAATTACATGTTTCAAAGATCATTACGAAAAGTATTTTCCAACATTTTCTATACCAACCCATGTTTTTAATGGAAATTAGGCCATGAGCAATGTCACATCATGACGAGATCTCACGTTACCAAAGGTATTTCCCAACGATATGACGTAGGCCGGCAAGATTTTAGTCACGTGGCATTAGAAGTTTGAAAAAATATGTTTTTAGTGATTGTATTGGTTGTTTGAGGCATGTTATGTATGTTCATCTTGTGGGCCGGAATTCGGATGTTAATCAATGACAGACCGACATGAAAAAAGTCGATAAAACGTCAGAATAATTCGGACTAGTTATTATAACATATTCATTTTGGTACTGAAATGTTTGTGCAGTTCCAAGTAAAAATATTACACAAATTAATTCAATATTATTCAGTTTGTGAAGGCATATGCTTTTAAATGGTATTGTGCCACAATGGAAGAAGTGCTTGTAATGACTATAAGATCAATTTATCAGAGCTTAGCTTTATACTTTCACAATGGCAAAATATGCTACATGTACCAGTATTTCCTATTGATTTTTTTTTTAAAAAGTTTTCAAATAACATGTCTTGGCAATCCCTGTATCACAGTAATTGTGTAATTATATAGCAAATGTATGTGTTAATTGAAATGTATGGAAGATCTCATAATGTGTGTTAAACCTCTGAGAAAGAGTCAAGTAAAGGGTCCGGCCAATGATCTAATAACTAATTTAACTTTATTTCATACAGAAATATATTTAACCGTATTCATATTTCAATCTGCTAATCATTTTTTATTTACAACAGGATTTCCATTTGATAGCACTCCAGGATCTAATGAATTAAAGTACACACGTACCCATCATGACCAAATTATAACATTTTGTAGTGTACCATCATCCGTAATTTATTATAATCAATGTGTATTGTTGACATAATATTAATTCACCTTAATTGTTTTAATTTTTTTCCTTTTAATTATACAAATTGTCTTCACTTGTAGTGCAAAATTGATCTTACTACCGACTTCAATTTTTATTATTATTTTTCAATCATTTTTTATTGTTCCATATACAATTTAGTTAGTTTCTGTTTTGCTCCTTGCTGTGTTAATGCTTTTTTTTAAAGTTTTGTATATGCTAGTCTCTGTGTGTTTTGTTATATGTGTGTGGCTTATGCTTAGGATTTTCATTACAAGACATAGATATATATGTTGTAGCATTTTCTTTAAGTTGATACTGTGTGATATGTACCCACTACACTGGCAGTTGGATTTTTGTAGGCTGATAAAGAATTTTGGATCATGTTCATTTTTCCTGCTCAATGACTATTGCTTTGAACCTTATCCTGATCAAGTGCAGAGCTGAAAATAGTTTTCAGAACCCCATTCTTCTTTATGTGTTTAAGGTAAGAGAGTACCATTGCATAGATATCAGGAAGAGGTATTAATGGGCATCCACCCTATGAACAGAAAAAATGGCAAAGTGGGGGTGGGCTTATTACCAGACATGGGCTTATCACCTGTAAAATACTTCATTTTGATGCTGTGTATTTACAATTGCTGGATAGCAACATTGGTTAAGTGTATGTAAGGTTTGGTATAGTTTAGGTTCTAAGTTCAATCCTTGTATTTTTGTTTTGAAACGTACTAAACCTTTTACCACTATAAATCTGTATATTGCATGGTTAGTTCTGAATTATATAGAACTCTTCTCTAGAAAAGGACTTGCACAAGCGTTTCATATAGTAGGATATAAGTGGATGTAGGCATTGCTGCCTCTATTTCCTAATCAATATAATTTGAAATACCTTGTGATAGATATAAAATAAGTTTTATATATAAGATACTATATGATCATACTTCAACTCAAGATCTTTCCAGATATTTGTCAAATACTAAGTGATAATAGTGAATGGCAATAAGATTTTGACTAGATAGGACTTTTTACATCAAATCAAGTATACAATATAAGGACTCAATGGACCTGAATTATTTGTCCATCTACCTGACATCAGTTATATACAATATATACTGCTGAATAATTCATGATATCAATTATTCATGTCCCCTTGCTTCAATATATACTTTCATTAGATATCAGAATCCAGAGCAGATTGTGTAGACTGTTACCTAACAGGGGACGTACCATACTCAATCTACCAACTTGAAGAAACGCTATAATGTTTTGGAGGAGATACATTAAGCTTAATTATCGTTTCATTTCATTGCTTTGTTAAAATATTGTTGATAGATTTACTATGCCAGTGCATATGTCCGAGTTGCCCACAGAATATGTACCAGGAAAATATATTATTGAGGCAATCAATTTACATGTGTGCATAAAACTTAATGGGCCTGCAGACTGGTTCAATGTTTAGTCAGCTTAACAATTCAACGACACAAATTTTCAAAATTCTATTTTTGAGAAATATCTGATTATCTGAAAACCTACACACATTTCTTTTAACTTCTTGTGCATGAGCAATCATTTTGGATCCATACCGATATACAGATTTAAATATGAGTTTGAAATGTTTTGAAATAATCAATACAAATATGAAGTAAAAAAGCACCTACCGGTATTTAGGAATTAAGTTTGTTGATTTACTGCACCATATGAAATATATTATTTAATTGGCATTATGCTAACAAGGCTTGAAATTCAGAATTAATAGTTTATGTATGGAGATTAAAAAGGAATACCCAGACAAAAAAGTACAGAAATATTTTAATTTTTTCATATATTTCAGAAGATTTTTTTAAATGAAAATGTTTGTTAATGACTCATTAAGTTGACCAAACATTGAACAAGTTGAACTTTGATTTACTGTACCGACAAGCTACATCTTTCAAATGGAAATTGCTTATGATTGCTATGATTCTGATGATCTTGAATTGTTACAAATGTTATCTTTGGAAGATAACAATGAAAGGCATACAAACTAAATGCATGTTTAATAGTGTTAAATGTAAAATTTGAGCTTTAACAAAATGTCTATTTTATAGAAAACAATAACACCAATAGATTTAGATGGCTAAAGTCTATCTTGACTTCATTATGTTTTCCAGTTTTGAGATTTTGAACAAAAATATCAAATTAATTTTTAAGAATATTCATAATGGTAAACCTTATTTTACTTGTTACGTTAAGATGTGTTAGGAAATTCTATCTGATCTAAATCACCTACATAAACTACATCTAGGCCTTTTCTATCTGATCTAAATCACATTCGTAAACTACATCTAGGCCTGGCAGAATTAGGCCAGTGTAGTACAAATTATAATGACCAGTTGAAATAAGCTTTGGTCAAAGATTTGATTGGTTGTCAGAAGAGAAAATTCATTCATTTATAAGTAAAATTGAAGTAAAAGTTGTGATAATAAATTCGATATTTTTGTTCCAACTCAAAAAAAACCGAAAAGACAAATTTTGTAGAAGATACTGTAGTTATTGTTATCTTCATAAACAGGCATGGAAAATAACCTGAACTTTACAGGAAATGTAACTCTTCAGTGACATTTGTTATTGATAGAGTGTTGGGACTCTCTACAGGTATCTGTTGTATCTGTGTATCTATGCCCTTGTGAAGTAGCAGGCACTTTAAGTATGATAAGTGTAACCAGAACAAGTATTGTCTTAAATAATTGCTTTGTTATTTTTTTATTTGACTTTATTTTTGTGTAATTATCGACTATAATGATGTTGTTGTATATATGTATTTACATATATGTATGTTATGTTATTTTAATCTTTTGATTTTGATTATCTACCGATGTTCCAATTGTCATGGAATCAAAGATACATATTTGTCTTCAAATACATACCGATAATTGTTATACTAGAGAGTGAAGTTAGGGTATTGTACCAAATCTATATTACTGTACTTGTATTAGCGTAAACACTATTGTGATATAAGGTAGTGTGAACATGTTCAAGTCTGTATCTCTTTGTATCTCTGTTGATTGTGAAAATAAACAGATATAGTTGCAATTTGTGTGATAATGTGTTATCTGTACTTAAACCCACCTGTATTGCTGTTTGTATATATTTACCTTGAGACAAACTTTAGTATGAAAAGTCAACAAAGATTGTTTCGATATTCCTTCAGTAGCACCTTACTCTATGTTCTACAAAGTTTGCAAAGGAAAACAAAAGCTGTCCATTAATGGGACTACTAGGGGGTACTTTGCAACAATGGTGCAATATTTCCATCGAAAAACACTCAAACCTCTTTTTTCTGAAGAACAAGAAGGTGTAGAGTAATGCTATTTGGCCAGAAAGTTTCTTGCGTAGAGAAGGATCTTGACGCCCACCATTGTACCATCTTCATTCATTCTATGTCAGCTTGATTTTTTTTCTCTCTTATCTGTTGGATCAGTTTGCCTGTCCGCCAATTTGTTCAGTCTTAAGATCAGTTTCAAAAGTAAACATGCACAATTAAGGACCAAGGGAAACCTACATATCAAATTTGAGAAAGGTTCCTCCAGCGGTCTGAGATATAGTGCTATCAAACTTTAACTCTTAAATTCAAAAGGGCTATCTGTCGACCATCTTGGTTCTCTCTTCAGTCCTTAAATTTGATATGCGTAACTAGGGACCATTGCAAACATTCATGTGAAGTTTGAGAAAGATCCTTCCAGTACTATTTGAGTAATAACGACAACACATTTTAACTCTCAAAGATCAAGATGGCTGGCTGTCCGCCATATTGGTTTTCCCTAATTCAGTCCTTAAATTTTCTGTATCTCTCACTTATACTAAAAACTAAGAAGTGTCTAATATGCAAATTAGTTAACTAACATTTCTATTGGTCAACTGTAGATGGACAGCCATCAGGTGGACAATAGAGGTTCCCAGGGCTCCAGCCTGTACCTT